CGCCCAGGGTCCGGTTTGTCCTTCCCGTGTCGGTAGTGTCGCGTAGTCGGTCGGCTTCGTGACGATGACGCGCCACCAGTCCATGGCGGGTCCTCGCAGCAACGACACGGCGTATCGAATCTTCGCCGAGTCCTCCGAGACGTAGTTGGCGTCGAAGAAAACATTCATTGTGAATAACCACGCCTGAACGGTAGGACCACCCCGTTGACTCGGGTCAAAGCATGGCGGGCGCTGCGGCTTCAGCGGCATCGGTGACGGCAGTCCCGAATCGTGGGTTGGTGCCGAAATCGTGACGCGAGGCTGACTTGGGGCCGCAGGCGTCGCTCTGGGGTGTGTCGTGCCGTGGTCGTCGTCTCCGTCGGGGCGGACGACGCCATCACTGGCCGCGCTCGCGGGTTGCCCCACACTCCCGTGTTGTGATGTTGAGGGTGCGGGTTGAATCGGAGTGCCAGGTGCTTGAGATTGTGCTCTCAGGAGGTCATTTTGCAGTGATGAGCGTTCTGCCGTCAATGCCGCGATTTCCTCGGAGCTTTCGTGCAGTTGTCGCAGCAGATCGTTCAAACGTTCCTGCGTGAGAGTGGTGACGTCGATGTTTTCGGCCATGACGAAGGGCGTCGGCTCGTCTTAGTCTAGGCGCAGTCGTGGCTGCACGCGTTTACGAGAGAACGCGAGGACAGCGGCTCCTAGGGGCTAAGGTGCGTGAGTCCCTTCGAGTGAAAAATCAAAAGTTGATTTCCTGGTGTGCGGAGATGCGCGGTCCGAAAGAAAGGGGCTCTGATAACAAGTGTTACGGGTGCAATGAATCGAGGTAGCGAGAATTGCACTAAGGTGTCAAACGAGTACAAAATGTGAGCGAAGGCATGAGCGAACATTTATACGCGAAACATGCAAAACGGTAACGCGGTGCGTGCGAGCTTGCTAGTGCTACGCTGGAACGAGGCTCGGGCTAGTCCCGAAGCGTTGGCCGATACGGCCATGCCAGCAGTGCGAGGTTTGGCAAAACAGTGCGCGCGAAGTCGGCGAAGTTCCGTTAGCAGTAACGGGCGAACAATCGGCTGTTGCTGTACGCGATGTAGTCGGCTCCGTAAGGAATGCCGAGAAAATTCCTTACACACCCCCCCTTTTGCGTCTTGACAAACTCGAACTGGATATGCAGACACTTTGCTTCTATGCTATTTTCCTGTTCTCATTTCCTATGCAGACACTTTGCTTCTATGCTATTTTCTATGCTTTTATGCTATTTCCCTTCCAATGTAAAGTACTGAAAAGAGTATCAATCTATACCTGATTGCTCAATTAATACTGTTACCGTGATTCCGTTTGCTAACGATTCGCCAAATATGTCTTCAGACTCAGGCAACTACGTGCGCAAGGGTGAAGGGGTGGGCGCGAACCCCATTTTCACGATGTGCGACGGTTATGCAACCAAGATGTTCAACAACTGCAAGGGACTGCCAGGTACAGTACACCGCATGAGATATTAGAGCAGAGAAACAAAGGTGGACGGTTATACAAAGGCATGTATGCATATCTCACTGTGGGTTGTTCCTCTTCATAACCAACCTTCCAAGATTCACTTCTTTTCACTTATCTTTGCCCTCACCAACCAAGTACAATTTGGTGTTACAACCTTCTCCCATTCTTCTTTAAATTAAAGCTTAGGCACTTCTGGCTTCCCTCCCCACCTGCTCCTTCCAGTCCCTTGCACAACGGCCACGTTCGGTCAGTTTCTCAACAGCAAGGAGCGCCTGCTGGACAAGACGTTTGGCGCAATCTTCCCTGCCCTCGGTTACATCAGCACCACTCTCGAGAGTGTGCCTGTGAGTAATATGAGAGTGCTTGGCAGAAAAGGAAGAGGGGGAGGGCAAAGAAGGGGTATAAGATCGCCTGCCGACAAAACGTTTGGTGCCATCTTCCAGCCCTTGGGTATATCAGCACCACCCTCAAGATTGTACCTGTGAGTAGTGGGAGCAACTGAACTGGGGAGAGGGGAAGGGGTGAACAGGGGAGGAACAGAGGAGGGGTAGAAGGGGGAGAGGGTGAAGGGGGGAAAGAAGGGGTGCAGGCAAACTTGACAGCCTGGTTATCACCTGACGTACTTGTATGTTTGGCCATGTACAGGGCACAACTGGCTGCTATAATGGACCTGCCATGGTTCCTTCTCGCGTCATCTGTTGCGACCCGCTCGTTCCTCCGACCAACTGCCCTGCTGGCACTGTAGACAATCCTCGTTTCAAGAAGCTCTTCAACCGTACATTGGACAAGAACGACTGTGTTGCATATGCTGGCATATCAGATGCTCCTGTTGTAGTTGAGCCTGTTCCCAGCAGCTCTGGCTCTGGTGGCTCAACAGCTAGCAGTTGTGGGGATGATGGAAGCAGCAACAGCGGTAGCAGCGACAGCAGCAACAGTGGGAATAGTGGAAGCAACTATGGTGCTAGCCTATCCACCAACAGTACTAGTGGTGGTAGTGGCAGTAACAATGGCAAAGGGAGTGGACGCTTTGCCGGGTCCGGTTACTTCTGGATGTTCCTAGTATCCTCGGTCTTCTTGTTTTGCTGAATCAAGCACGGAATGAATGTGAAGTCTGGAGCAGGACGTTTTAAAAACGTTGTTTTTAAGACGACGTTTTTCCTTAGCAGCAGCAGTAGAGAGACTTGACATAAATTCCGTTGAGGATGCTGCTGCTAAGGAAACGGACACTAAGGGGTGTACCATGTGATATGAAGATGCTGTAAGGCAAGTCCCTCGCTATGATGCTCTTTGCCAGCTTGGAGGATAGCAGTGCTGCCAAGCAGACTGTACAAAACGTGTGTACACTATACAGCGTGCTGCTGAGAGGTGTGCCGCTCGATGAATGTCGCACATGTTGTGTATCTTGCTCCAAGCATGTACGATAGAGATAGAATTGCATAAGCATATGACCAACAATGTGCGTACTGTAACCCTAACTCAAACCCTTATCTTGGCGAGAAGCATTTGCCTCTTGTGCATTGAAGTGAAGGCGGCGTCTTTCTAACGCAATTCGAGTGTAGTGTGTAACTGAAAACCCACAAAGTCACCTTTTGGGTCCTAGTACCGCAGCGCAGGCGCAGCCATTTGTACTGCGATTCAGTTGGGAGTGTGCACTGTAAAGCCCATTTGCGTCGAAGCGACGAATAGCATTCTCTTGTCCTCACTAGGTCCGATTGGCATGGTATGGCAGTCCGTTTTTTTCCGCTTCGCCGAGTAATGATTCCGCCGAGTAAGGACGTCTTGCTCGCGGGGTAAGTGCATCGATAGTGTTGCGAGACGAGAACGTAGGTTGTCGAAGAGGTGGAAACGCCACCACGTAGGATTGGAACCGCGGCGCCCGCCAATACAGTAGGGATCAGGGGGGCTTCCAGCCAAAATGTTTCACCAGAAGCCAAACTCGACCGAAAAATGCGGCGTCATCAACACCGCACAGTCGTCTTGCTGACGTCCCTTCACACGTCTCCCCCCTCGGCTTCTAGGGGGAGAGGAGAGGGAGGCGTTATCGGGCGTTCGTCTCAGGCATTCATGTACGGAATGCGCGGAGTTCAATCGCCGCTGCATTCAGAGGAACCGATAAGCGGCACAAATATATACACTAATATATCCTCTTTCAATAACACGAGGCCTTGCTTCGACGCCTAGTACGACTCACCATCTAGGCGTGACCTTTGTACTGTACACTCGGCTCGGACCCTGCACTACCCGACTCGGGGTACTTTTATGCACATTCCGTAAATTAGGTGAAACCCACAATGGGCCGTTTTCAAAGCGTCGTTCTCTCTCCCTTCGCCACGACGACTCTGCTTCTCCTGCTTCTGTCGCCGTCATCCGCGGAGAGTTACCCGCTCTGCCCCTTCACGCAAAAACCACCGCAAAATCCGACCATTATCCCGTCGCGGTGCGTGGACGCGGCAGAAGGGAGCTGCTGCGGAAACTGCTTCGACCACGGAATGGCGCTGTCGGCGGTGCTCGCGAACGAGTCGGCCATCGTTAATCAATTCTCACCATCGCTGGCGCAGCTGCTAAGGGGGACAGAGGTTCAGGTGCGTGGCTCGCGAGCAATGCTGCGAGAAAAACATTGAAAGAATGTCGCGAGAAATCTCAGTCGCCAGAACATTGGGAAAAAAACGCTTCGAGGAAAAGTTGTAACGTCAGGCGCTCGATGGCGCAGCTGCTGCGCGAAAGTTTTATTAGTTGTATGCTAGGGATAGTAGCGTTAGAAGGAGAGTCTTTCCCCCCTACTAACCATCTGCCTTCGGCGGGTCGGAGTCGCCTATAGTGCTTTCTCGTTCCTGACAACTCCGAAAATTCTATGTTTTGCGACTCAACCGATCGTCACTGTGTGTGCGCGTGGTTCTCTCAACCATTTGTTTCGTCTCGATTGCATCTGGTCTGGTCCCCTCCCAGATGTGCTCCTTATTTGTGGGATACCACGATTGCTCGAACGATTTCGAGCAGGTTGGCTGCGCCATAAACTGTAACCCAGGTGCGTGTTTACCAACATCCCTCGTCGAGTCCTGCCAAACGCAAAGTGGACCAATCCTGCCTTCTTGTCAATGCACGAGTTCGCTTCAATTCTATTTCCAATTCTCAAACACTCTGCACTCCTCGGATAGTTCTCTGCACTCCTCCGATGGTGCTCTGCACTCCTCTGATACTGCTCTGCATCTCTCTGATAGAACTCAGTATTCCTCTGACCTCCCTTCCAAGAAGGGCGAGTCATTTTCATTTCATTTTTGCTCAATACCCATCCCGACCTATCACGGAAACTGATTTGGCCGTTGTAGAACGCGAGAAATCTCACTAAGCCGCATTCAAACGAACGAAAAAGACCCGCCCTAACATTCTCTGGTGATTAACAGTTAACACTGGTTTGCTTGTTCCTGTTACCGTCTCTCCCGTCAACGCTTTCGCCACATCTGTATCCAGAGTCGGGCAACTACGTCCGCCAGTCTGAAGGGGTCGGCGCGAACCCCATTTTTTCGATGTGCGATAGTTTTGCAACCAAGATGTTCGACGACTGCAAGGGACTGCCAGGTACAGTACACCGCTTAACAAATACTCCAAGCATGTAATAAGGATGGTCGGTTCCACATGTGCATACGTCCATATCATACTGTAGTATGGATTTCTGTTTATTACCCGTTTTCCTTCTTTGAATAGAGGAGACACTTCTCACGTTTTTGTATTTGCGCCCCTTCACCACCCATCCAAACAAAAAAAATGAACCATTCGAATATTCCAGTTGAACGAACGAACGAGGAGCGCTTACTGAGTGTGCATCCCTTGCTTCCCTCTACCCTGCTGACGTCGTCACTATACTTTGACCTATCGTTTCCCTTTATCCGCCCCTCGTCCTCCCCTCCACCTGCCTCCCTCCTTTCCCGTTGCCATCCCTCCAGCCCCCGGCACTGGGGGCACGTTTGGCCAGTTTCTCAACAGCAAGGCGCCTGCTGAACATCCCTCCTTGGCTTCCCATCCCGTCCACCATGCTAGAAAAATATCGTTACACCCTTCCCTTTTCCCCACTCCGTCCCTCCAGTCCCTGGCACTGGGGCCACGTTTGGCCAGTTTCTCAACAGCAAGGAGCGCATGCTGAACAAGTCGTTTGGTGCTATCTTTTTGGCCCTCGGATACCGCAGCACCTCGCTCGAGATTGTACCTGTGAGTAGTGGGAGTGGCAGAAGCGGGGACAGGGGATGTAAGCAGGGGAGGGGGCAAGGAGCACATGCTGAACAAGTCGTTTGGTGCTATCTTCTCAGCCCTCGGATACTGCAGCACCTCTTTTGAGATTGTGCCCGTGAGTAGTGTGAGATTGCTTGGCAGAAACAGGGGCGGGGGGCAGGGGGGTGGGGGGGGGGGGGGGGGGGGGGAGGGGTAGAAGGGGGGAGAGGAGGTTGAGGGGTGTGGACGAAACTCACAGGTTTGCTACCCTCGTAACAGCTGACTCACTTGTGTATCTGCCCTTGTACAGGGAACGACGGGGTGTTACAATGGTCCTTCCAAGATTCCTCCTCGTGTCATCTGCTGCGACCCACTCATTCCTCCGGCCAACTGCCCTGCCGGAACTGTAGACAATCCAAGCTATAAGAAACTCTTTAACCGTACACTGGACAAGAAAGACTGTGCTGCATATGCCGGCATATCGGACGTTCCTGTTGTAGTGCAGCCTACTCCCACAGGCAGCCCAGGCATGAATGGATTGACGGGTAGCAGTAAAGGAAATGATGGAAGCAGTGACACTGGTAATGGCAGTGGTGCTAGTCCATCTGCTAGCAGTACTAATGGTGGTAGTGGCAGTAGCAGTGGCAATAATGACAAAGGGAGTGGGCGTTTTGCAGGGTCTGGTTACGCTTTCAGGATGATCCTATTTTCCTCTGTCTTCCTACTTGGCTAAATCAATCATGGAATTATTGTCAAATTAACAGACGAGAGAACATTTTTTCCCTTGTAGAATTTACTTTCTATCGAATGCTGCTTGGGCTTACTGCATTTTTTTCTCGACAGTCTATTGTGTATAATTTGTAGTTTTTATAGTGGTTTCATAATTTTTGCGGAGCGGTTTAAAAGGCAGTATTCGGAATTTACGAGGAAACTTTCAGAAGCTTCTAGAGTGGTTGGGTTGGGGTGTACGGCTTGCTGTAGAGTAACGGGCCAAATCCTTGTTGGGGTGCCTGCCGAGGTACTGTACGTGATAATTCTACCCGACGTTTTCGTTAGCAACACGACGGTAACCAACTTCGCCCAGTAGAATCGTCTCGCAGCATGCCAGTCCGAGGTTTCGCGACAGCTGCTCTTGACTGCGCCTTTCGGGATTCCCCTTGCAGGGGGGGCCAAATTTCTACAAATTCGAGGAGCGCATGTCACATTTCCAGCAGCTCCCTCCCATTCCATCCAAATTTGAGATTTTCCGAGTACCTCCGTTCTGGTGTTCGTCGGAGCTGCGGGCTTTCCCAGCAGCAGCAGCAGCAGCAGTAGCGGTCCGTAGTGTGACCCGTCATTGAGACCTCCTTTTCACCAAACTTCTCCGAGCGCTTAGATCTTCTCACCTCACGCGTGCGGCGTCTCTTCCAAGGTGCGTTGCGCTCAAACTTTGAAGCCGCATGAGAAACGCATTCCTTGGACCGGATGAGGCTTCTAACACAGCGGCTGAGGTTACGTCACTTTGCTGAGGTTCTATACTTTCACGAGTCATTCTCTGTTGCAGGTTGCTGGTCTCGCGTTGCTGCTTCCTGCAATTTCTGTGCCTGGTATTGTTCGATTCTTCCACGTTTTTCCTCTACTGCTTTTTCGCATTGCAGTACACTCGTGATCCGGCTTTTTCACTCAGAACTTGTTGCGCGCCGCTTTTTAGTAGTTCTGTCCTCCGGCGTGCGCTCATTAGAAATTTCAAGAGCCTCGTGTCAACGAAGACGGCGGGCAGCTCGACGATGCAGCCTTCGCGGCTCGTCTTAACCTCGCGCGGCTCGCATCTCGCATCGGCCTCATTACCGTCACACTCCTTATCCTCGTCTCCGTCTCCTTATTGTCACGGCCATCAGAGCTCTCGTTTCCACCGCCTTTTCCCGTTGAATGCGGCGGCAGGCTTCTCATATCCAACAAGATTCCGCAAGAGTTCAACGCAGTCAACGCAGTCAACGCGGCTCACTCGGCCATCAGCGCAGTCAGCTCACTTTGGGACGCTCGCCAATCCTAAGGCGGACGACGTGCAGGCTCAGTTCGGAAAGGACAAAATCGTCATCATGAAGATCGCGGTTCTGGGCGGCACTGGCAACGTGGGGTCGAAGCTGGCTCAGAGGCTCTGCGCTGCGGGGCATGACGTCGTGCTGACGTCACGTAATCCGGGGGATGAGAAGGTAAGGTTTGCAGCTTTTCGTTGATGCGGTGGTGACATTGGTGATAACGCATGGTTACGATGTGGTAACATGTGGTAACATGCAGTGATGCAGCGCACTGAACCTATTCCCACCCGTCTGCACCGCTGTCTTCCTCGTTTTGTTTCCCCTCGTTTGTTCAGACTGCCAAGGCGCTAGCATATGTGAAGGATGGGGGCAAGAGGGTAGCAACAGCACCGCTTTGAACCTATTCCAACCCATCTGTACCGCTCTCTTTCAATTATTACTATCCCTGCTTGCGTGCAGACTGTCAAAGCGCTAGCATATGTGAAGGAGGGAGGCAAGGGAGCGGCAACGGCGGCAGGAGTGGCAGAGGCGGTGGAAGGCGCTGACGCTGTGATCGTTGCCACGCCGGGATATGCCACTGCGGAGGAGTGGAGCAAGGTGGGTAAAGCGTTTTGCTGAATTCCTAAATTCAGAGTTCATGGTTGATGCAGTGATGTTTGTAACATTGAGCACCACATTTGTTAGGACATGTCATTGTTGACGGGTGGAGCAATGCCAAGTGCTAGTTGCGAAAACCTGCTGATATTGTTACAGATTTCTCCAACTGTTGAAGCGTACCAACGTGAAATAAGTGAGCTCTTGAGACTCGCTTATTTCAACGGTTGGAAGTGAACCAACAATATTCCGTACCCTCTTCTTTCGACTCTCCTCTACTTCCGTGTGTGCTTTCTCTCCTCTTTTCAGGTGCTGCCTCCCTTTGCGTCATATGCAGGAGTGGTGCTGGATGCCTGTAACCCCTTCACTGCCGGGCTGGCATTGGCCATCAGTGTGCATAGAGAAGGCGACGCACCTGCCTGCCTCTTCCTCCCTGCCGGCCTCTGCCGGGCCGGGGATTGTTCCCTCTGCAATCCCCGTGTCAGGTGGTGACCGCCTTTGCGTCATACGCGGGGGTGCTGCTAGAGATGCAGCAAACCCCTTGACTGCCGGGCCGTGGTTGGAGGTCAATATGCGTAGAGAAGACGGTTGAACGGCCGGGCCGTGGTTGGAGGTCAATACGGATTAGAAACAGGCAACTAACCCGCGTGCCACTTCCTGCCTGTTGCCTCTACGCCTCCCCGTGGCAGGTGGTGGCTCCCTTTGCGTCATATGCAGGGGTGGTGCTGGATGCGTCTAACTCCTTGACTGCCTGGTCGGGGTTGTAGATATCAGAAAGCGACTGACTTGCTCTGCCCTGCCCTGCCCTGCCCTGCCCTGCCCTGCCCTGCCCTGCCCTGCCTCTCCTCTGGTTCTCATCCTCCCTGTCGTTTCGCCTTCCATCTGTCAGGTGGTGGCTCCCTTTGCGTCATACGCGGGGGTGGTGCTGGATGCGTCCACGGGATCAGTGCGGACCACAGGAGCACCAGCAGCCGAGACCTATCCCCTTCCATGCCCCCTCTACCGTCTCCCCCCCCGTGTCAGGTGGTGGCTCCCTTTGCGTCATATGCAGGGGTGGTGCTGGATGCGTCTAACTCTTTGACTCCCTGGCCGGCTCTGGAGATCGGTGTGGATCACAGGAGCACCAGCGGTGGAGAGGAGCTGAAAAAGGTGATTGTAAGGGGAGGTGTCTTTACAGGGTGGTTGAGAGTGTGACTGTAAGGTGATTGTAAGCGGGAGTTAGAGGAGGTGACAGGGAGGCAGGGAAGTTGATTTTGAAAGAGGCGGTAAAAATTAGTGATTGTCAAGGGTGGTTGAAATCGTGACTGCAAAGGGAAGCTGAGGAGGTGATTGTACAGAGAGGAATTGAGGAGCTGAGGAGCTTAGGTGGTTGAATTGAGGAGCTGATTTGATCCACATATTTTACTCAATCCTCTCACCCCCTGGTCGAGGCCCTCCCCACGCACACGTGTACTAGTTTTGAGTCGACTCAAAACTAGGCGTTCAACACCGTATGGGCTGAGCTCATGGTGACCCTCCCGTGTTCCCTCTCCATGCACGCCTCTCTCACCTCTCTTAACCCCTCTCCAGACCATCCCCCACGCACACATGTTCAAGGCGTTCAACACCGTCAGGGGCAGAGCTCGTGGGTGACCCACAGTCGCTTCTCCCATATCCCTCTCACTCACCCCTCACTCACCCCTCACTCACCCCTCACTCACCCCTCGCTCACCCCTCGCTCACCCCTCTCAACCCCTGTCAACCCCTCTCAACCCCTCTTCAGGCGCTTCCCGACGCACACGTGCACAAGGCGTTCAACATCGTCGGGGCAGAGCTCACGGTGACTCCCCCCTCCCTCAGACCCCGCACCCCTCTCAACCCCTCTCAACCCCTTTCAACCCCTCTGAACCCCCGTCTAGGCCCTCCCTAATGCACATGTGTACAAGGCGTTCAACACCGTCGGAGCAGAGCTCATGGTGACACCAACACTGGGAGGAAAACCGGTCGCCATGCTGTTTGCTGGCTCTGAAGATGCTGCTGCCAAGGAGACTGCCACCAAGGTGCGTAGAATGTGCTATGTGTATGCACATAGTGTATCCGAGCATCCGTGTATGCACATAGTGTATCCGAGCATCCGTGTATGCACATAGTGTATCCGAGCATCCGTGTAAGCACACTCATCCACACTCACCCATGCATCACCAATCCAACCATCCACCCATCCACCCCGCAAGCTCACACATCCCCATTTCCTCCCATCCTCGGCCAGATCATCGCAGCCATTGGATCTCGCCCCGAGTACGCGGTTCCGCTGCCCCTCCGCTACAACCCCCTCACGCGCGCGGTGCTCCTCGCGCGCGTGGTGCCCCTCACGCGCGTGGTGCTCCTCACGCGGGATCTCATGGTGCATCCCCCCATCATGCCATGTGCCCATCACCAGGTCATCTCAGCCGTTGGATTCCGCCCCGAGTACGTGGGGCCGCTGCGCTACGCGCGTAACCTCGAGAGCTTTGCGGAGCTGTGGGTGCACCTGGCCCTCAAGCAGGGGTGGCCGCGCGACGGGTTCGCATTCGACATTCAGAAGGCGTAGAGGAGAGAAGGTGCAGGGGGTTGCATATTGCAGTCTCGAGAGCTTTGGGGACCAGAGGGGGAGGGGGAAGGGGATGTGAGATGTTGGGGGAGGACAGCTGGGAGCAATGATAGGATGTGCATGTACCATACCATGTTGGGAAATGGTGTTATTACAAATTTCAAAGGTGATGGTTCACTTGTGTGCTTCATAATTCCAGTATTTTGATTACTACAGAATAAAGCACTTCAATTGGATGCATGGTACCAGCAAGCACACCCACACATGTACATGTCATATGTGCTTGCTGTATGAAATGTTCCACATGCAGAGTCAGATTTTTAGTGATGGATGGAGAAAGTGGTTAAAATCGAGTCCACCGATGTACAGTAGTTTTCTCTGTACTTTGTCAAAATCAAACATGTTACGATCATGTGTTAGACTCACACTATAACAGGCCCTCTAAACATGCTGCCAGCTACAAGGTCAGAACCAAGCAGGAAACAAACAAAAAGAGCACCATCTGCTAGACAAACAAACCCCCAAACTGTGTGACCGAAACATATTCGCTGTTGCGCGTCTATCTAGGTGGAAAATTCTCCATCATACCACAGGGTTCAGCAACAGATGGCGTTGTTTGCACCACCACCAGCAACAGCAGCTGCAGCAGCTGCAGCAGCAGCAGTGGCAACACCAGGGCCTACACATTGCACTGGAGCAAGGTGGAAGCAAGTGGCTTACGGAACATGACCCACCCAACCAATTGACAAAGAGCCGGCCAAGCAAAGCAACATGCTGCAGATTGCGCCGCGGGGGTCTGCAGATTCTTGATTGCGATTGCGACTCCCGAGCTCAAGAGCCATTGCTGCAGTCAAGAACAGATCCTGTCAAGGGCATCTCTCAAGAGCTCAATTCCCTAAGGCAGCCGAGACACATGTGCTTTAAAGAACCCCCTCTGAGAGGGTCTCTGGACTGGAGAGCCTAGGAAGTCTGGAACTTGTGGAAACACAACGGTGCATAGCTGGCTAGCCGATGGCTCAACACACGGGCTTAATAAGCGGCTAGAAGGCTAAGACGGAGGAGGAGAATACGGTAATAGATGGGTCTTGTATGAAGGTGCAGGCTGATACAGACACTGATGACGGAGTGCATGAGTGCCTGATTGCATGGGTGCATGATTGCACGCACGAGGAGGAGGAACGGGAGCAGGAGGAGGAGGAGGAGCGGGAGCAGCGGAAGCAGGAACAGGAGGAGGAGCAGGAGCAGCTGATGCACACGAGGAGGAAGGCGGCAATAAAGGGTAAACTAGGAGGTGACGAGGAGCAGGTTAGGAGGGTCTGCTACACCAGCAGGGCTGCTACACGAGAAGGTGGCCGTTCTGACGCCTTGTGTGCTCGGGCACAATCCGACGCACCAGGTCGATGGGCACTCCCTTGAACTCCTGGTGGGGGGGGGGGCGGGGGGGAGAAGATGGTGGGGGGAAGGGAAGATGAATGGTTGACGCATTGCGAAACGCCTTGTGTGCTCGGGCACAATCCGACGCACCAGCTCGATGGGCACTCCCTTGAACTCCTGCTTGGGGGAAAGGGGGGGGGGGGCACGAAGGGGTGGGAGGAGGGAGAGGGAGGGTGGAGAGGCAGAGATAGAAGGAAGATGCATGGTTGGCGCATGGGGACGGGACAACATTCCCCGATACAAATTTGATTATTTGATGGCCCAGATTTATCGGTGTTACGTTTGAGAATACATGGATATCTTCAAGGGTGTTCAACGGAATTCTCAACAGTAACACCCTTGAACTTTCCCTGTGAACGGGGTAAGGATGATAGACGGATGGACTAAGGATACATGGATAACTTTGAAGGCGACTCAACAATCCAACGGACCACCTTCATCGGCACAGCTTTGAACTTCTGTTTCAGAACAAGGTATAAGATTGATGGGCGGATGGATGTACACGAGGAGAAGAGAAATGGACTTTGAGAATTCTCAAAACACATACGCATGGGGCATGACACAGAACACTGAGGCGAATCATGCCATACATGCCATGACAAGAAAAACACATATGGAACACACGATGTAGATAAGAATATTGGTGTGTCATGGCAAGACGCAATGCCACTACATGCACACATTCTAGTAATGTGGCTTCGGAACCTTTTATCCTTGCTCACCTCTTTCTTGAAGTTGAACAGCGGAGGCAGCGGCTTGCCATTAGGCAGCCTGGTGTTGGGGTCCTTGATTTCGTCAAAGAAGGGATGCACCAACGCCTCCGCCTGCCACACACAGAGCACAGAAAGGGGGTGTATGAAAGAGAGAGCAGGCAACTTAGAAACGGCTCCGTAAAAAGCCTGATGTTGGGGTCCATGATTTCGCTGGAAACGGGATGCATCAGCAGCACCTCCGCCTGCCAAAAGCAGCTCAGGCAGGGCAGGCAGCACAGGGAGGAGAGCCATGCCGTTCAAGAAGCAGATTAGGAAGGGGCGGTACAGAAGCTAGGACGAGACTGTGGACGTTTTCTAAGAATTCTAAAAAAACATCAGGTACACAGCCGAACAGACTTTTGATACGTCTCATAAGAAGCAGATTAGGAAGGGGCGGTACAGAAGCTAGGACGAGACGGTGGACAGGTACACAGCCGAACAGAAGCGCAGGGGTGGGGTGGGGTGGGGTGAGGTGGGGACACTCATGCCATGCCGCCATTCATCCATGTCTTACAGCGGTGCAGCGTAGGTTCGGGGAGTACTGCAGCAGCCGTGAGACGAGGTCCACTGCCTCTGCCGGCACCCGCTTAGAGAAGACCTGGGGGGAGGGGGAGGGGGGGGAGGAGATGGAGGGGTGGAGGGGAGGGGATGGGGTGGGTGCGGAGGTTAAAGGAGTCCTGCTGCTGCCGCAAAACGAGATCCACTGCTTCTGCCGGCACCTTCTTGGAAAAGGCCGAGGGAAAAGGCCGGGGGGGGGGGGGGGGGGGGGAGGAATTCATGCACGAGGGTAAAATGTGAGTCAAAAGTTTTGACTCAAAACAGAGCAGAGTACACACGAATGCAACACAACGCACCCGCACCCAGCACACATGCTTATAGCACACCCGCACACAACACACACCCACACAACTCACACCCACCTTGTGCCAGGGATGTGCCTTGATCTGCGGGAACTTGAACTCCGTGTAGTTGGGGTTCATGCACTTGATCTCCTCCCTTGTTGGTGAATCGTGAGGGAGAGCACACACATATACAACACAACACACACACGCTTCACACATGCACACAGCACACACCCACCTTGTGCCAGGGGTGTGCCTTGATCTGCGGGAACTTGAACTCGGTGTAGTTGGGGTTCATGCACTTGATCTCCTCCCGTGTTGGTGAATCGTGAGGGAGAGCACACAGCACAGCACAGCACACACCCACCTTGTGCCAGGGGTGTGCCTTGATCTGCTGGAACTTGAACTCGGTGTAGTTGGGGTTCATGCACTTGATCTCCTCCCGTGTTGGTGAATCGTGAGGGAGAGCACACAGCACAGCACAGCACAGCACACACCCACCTTGTGCCAGGGGTGCGCCTTGATCTGCGGGAACTTGAACTCCGTGTAGTTGGGGTTCATGCACTTGATCTCCTCCCTTGTTGGTGAATCGTGAGGGAGAGCACACAGCACAGCACAGCACACACCCACCTTGTGCCAGGGGTGCGCCTTGATCTGCGGGAACTTGAACTCGGTGTAGTTGGGGTTCATGCACTTGATCTCCTCCCTTGTGGGCGTTCCCAGCACCTTAATAATTTCCACCAGCTGATCCACCCCGCTCTCGCCCGGGAACAGCGGCTGATACACGCAGAGCAGAGGGGGGGGGGTGTGAGGAGATGGGAGGGCAGGAGGCGAGTGTGAGAGACAAAAAGTGCATCGGTGTTCCCAGCACCCTAATAAACGCCATCAGCTGATCACCCCAGACTCGCCTGGGAACAGAGGCTGATACACACAGCGGCGGAACGGGGGAAAGTGAGAGAGAGAGAGCAGGGAGACAGTGTGAGGGAGAGAGGAGGTAGGTTGGTGTTCCCGGCACCTTGATGATCTCTCGCCTGGGGACAGAGGCTGATATGCGGAAGGAAAGAGAGGGGAGAGAAAGGGAGAAGGAGAGGGGGCATATGAGCGAATGATTGGTGGGGTCAGACTAGGCGTTCCCAGCCCCTTTATTCCTACCAGCTGATCCACCCCCGCTCTCACCCGGAAGCACAGGCCCCAGAAACAGAGGCTGATGGCGGGAAGAGAGAGTGGGAGGAACAGAGGCTGTAGCAGGGATGAGAATTACGAAGCAGAGAGGGGAGAGGAGAGGGGGAGGGGGAAGGGGGGAGGAAGAGAGGGGGGATGAAGGAAGGGAGTGTGTGTGAGAGAGAGGGTGTACACCAGTGTTCCCAGCACCTAGACAGATCCTCCCCCCACCAGCTATTCCACAAGGCTCTCTCCTGAGGATGCATCAGATGACTTTTGAGTCGACTAAAAAATCCACCCGGCTCTCTCCTGAGGATGCATCAGCGAGAGGGAATGTCGGGTTGGGGAGGAGGGGGGGAAGGGAGAGATGGGGGACATGCTGGTTCCAACGATAAAAGAAGGGGGAAGGAGGGAAATGGATACAGAACAGAGGCCGCCTACAGTAGAGAGATTCTAACTACAACTGCCCCAGCAGCAGCTCCACAGTCAGCTGACCAGATGTCATGTGAATGGCTGTGTTTTTTGAGAATTCTCAAAAAACTTACGATGTCATTTCAATGGCTGTGGTGTACTTCGTGGCTTGACAGAGCGGGAAAAGGAGGGAAGGAGGGCAAGGGATACAGAAAAAAGGCAGGCTACAAACGGAACAATCAGCCTCACCTGCCCCAGCAGCAGCTCCGCCATGGCACATCCAGAGGACCAGATGCCAATGGCTGTGGTGTGCTCCGTGGCTCCAAAGAGAAAAAGATAAAGAGGGAGGGTGGGGGAGAGGGGGGGTTGTGGGGAGGGAAGAACAGGAGGCGGAGATTCCTCACCTGCCGCAGCAGCTCTGCCGTAACACAGCCCGCGGACCAGATGTCAATGGCTGTGGTGTACTCCGTGGCCCCAAAGATACAGACACCAAGATAGGAGTGAGTCGGAGAGAAGGGGGAGAGAGATAGTGAGTAGGGGGGGGGGGCGGTGGGGCGGGCTCACCTGCCCCAGCAGCAGCTCCGCCATGACACATCCAGCGGACCAGATGTCAATGGCTGTGGTGTACTCCGTGGCTCCAGAGAGATATAGAGAGAGGGGGTGGGATGGGGAGGGAGGGAGGGGGAGAAGGAATGGGGGCGAAGAGAGAAAGAAGGGGAGGCGCCTCACCTGCCCCAGCAGCAGCTCCGCCATGACACAGCCAGCGGACCAGATGTCAATGGCTGTGGTGTACTCCGTGGCCCCAAAGATGAGCTCTGGCGCGCGGTAGTAGCGCGAGCAGATGTACGAGATGTTGGGCTCGCCCTTCACCTGCACGCAATGACAGTGATCGCAAGGGGAGGAGGTGCATGTCACCGGGCAGGGACACGGACACAGGCAGTTACGAAGATGAGAAAGAAGATGAGCTCTGGTGCGCAATAGTAGTGCGAGCTCGCCCTTCACCTGCATGCAACGCAATGACAGTGATCGCAAGGGGAGGAGGTGCATGTCACCGGGCAGGGACACGGGCAGGGACACGGGCAGGGCAGTTACAAAGATGAGAAAGAAGAAACACAGGGGCTTCGAGGCGCCTCAGAAGATGAGCTCTGGTGCGCAGTAGTAGTGCGAGCAGATGTACGAGATGTTGGGCTCGCCCTTCACCTGGAGAGGAATGATCAACATGCATGCAGAGATGAGGTGACAGAGGGTTAAAACTTAGAGGAGCACGTGGGCCGTTGAGGTGCCTTAGAAGATGAGCTCTGGTGCGCAATAGTAGTGCGAGCAGATGTACGATATGCTGGGCTCGCCCTTCACCTGCAGTGGGAGTGTTCAGTGAGAAGAGGGTTAGAACATAGAGCATAATAGGCTGCAGCAGCCTCAAACCACACAACAGGATGAACAACAAGGAAGGTGGGCGCAGAAGCCAGAAAGGTCATGAACAGTGGAAACACAGGACAGGACAGGAAGGAGCACAAAAGTGATGTTTGAGATGTCTCAAAAGCAGGAACACGGATCTGGCACCAAGCTTGGCATGCACGCGAGTGTATAGACTAACCAGGACTTTTGCGCTTCCGAAATCGCACAGCTTGAGTTGATGCGTGTGCGGATTGACCTGCCGACGGAAATGGAGAGCGAGTGTTGGTGGGGGGAGGAAAGAGGGGGGGGGGGGAGAAGGGGAGAGGAGAGCGGTAGGGGAGAGAGGGTGTTGGGGGGAGGGGAGAGGAGAGAGGGAACAATGATGATAAGAACCATTGAGTGACAAAGAAGGCAGGCAGTAGCAGGAAAAAACTGATATGGACCTTAAGAAAGGTATGGCAGAGGAATGTACGAAAGTAAAAGAGATGGTGATTTGTAGGTATGGCAGAAAGGTGGTTGCAATGCAAACGGACATAGGGGAGGGGGATGGGAGAGGGAAAGGGAAAGAGCATGGGGAACGGAATGGGAGGTGGGAGAGCGGCAAGGAGGGAAAACGAGGGGAATAATGGCTCGTGTGAAGGGTGTAGAGTGATGCGATGGACGGTGGTTGGTTGGTATCACTTCAGCTGTTCTTACGAGAAGGTTTTGCGGCTTGATATCGCGATGACACACGCCGATGCCGTTGTGAATGTACGCCAGCGCTCGACAAATCTGCACAAGGGGAAAGGAAAGGAACAGCCCAAACACACACCACAATTTCGCAATAAAACGACACAAAACGGAGAAAACAGGAATTAGGACTCGCAAATAGCGCATGAGAGGTAGAATCCTCCTGTTGCAGGCAGCTGAAAAGGGGAGTGGGAAGAAGGGGGCCGGGAACGGGAAGGAGTGGAGCGGCAACAGGGGAACATGAACGAAAAAAAAGTTTCAAGCGAAAAATGAAGCGGCGGGGCGGACGTGAGTCGACAACGAGTGAATAGGCGGCAACACATGGAATGGTTGACGGGGGGAGGGAGGAACAGAGCTGCCTTTTGAGTCGACTCAAAAGTCAGCTCGGACGTGAGTTGACGACAACGAGTGAATAGGCGGCGATGCATGGAATGGTTGACGGGGGGAGGGAGGAACAGGGTGAACGGGAGGGAAGATGAGAAGATGCAATGGGGTGTGTGTGGTGTGGATGGTAAATCGTACAGGCCATCCTATTATGTTCGCCTCATAGGCACACACCCATCAACACAAACACACAAACACACAAACACACACACACGCACGCAATCGTGGATGCACCCCTTCTTCCCCCCCTCGAGCACCAGGTTCAGGTACAGCTCGTCCTTGTCCGTCGTCGAGAAGAAGCAGTGCCGCAGCGCCACCCCCACGCTCCCGTGTGTGCGCCCCCACACGCACACGCACACATGGATGGACGCTTGCACTCTCACACACACCCTCTCCCCCTTCCTTCCCCCTTCCTCCCCCCCCCCCCCCCCCCCACCCTCTCCCGCCCCTCTCCCTCTCCCTCTCCTCTCTCGTCCTCTCTCTCACGCTCTCTCACACACACCAGCGCACGCGCAGGGGCGGGCGGCGGGCGCACCTGGTAGGTGTAGAGCTTGACGTAGAGCAGCGGCATGCGCTGGTTCATCTTGGTGTAGTGCTTGGTGATGCGGTAGACGGTCTCGGGCACGAACTCGAGCACCAGGTTCAGGTACAGCTCGTCCTTGTCCGTCGTCGAGAAGAAGCAGTGCCGCAGCGCCACCCCCACGCTCCCGTGTGTGCGCCCCCACGCCCACACGCACACACGGATACTAGCACCCACGCACACACTCTCTCCCCCTTCCCCCCTCCCCAACCCCCCCCCGCCTCCCCCTCTCTCTCTCTCTCTCCCGCTCCACTGTCCTCCCCTTTGCTCTCTCCCACGGTCTCAAGGAGACCCGGGCGGCGGGCGCACCTGGTAGGTGTAGAGCTTGACGTAGAGCAGCGGCATGCGCTGGTTCATCTTGGTGTAGTGCTTGGTGATGCGGTAGACGGTCTCGGGCACGAACTCGAGCACCAGGTTCAGATACAGCTCGTCCTTGTCCGTCGTCGAGAAGAAGCAGTGCCGCAGCGCCACCACGTTCGGGTGCTCCAGCAGCCGCATGATCTGCAGCTCGCGGTTCTTGTAACGCTTGTCCTGTAACACCTTCTTTATCGCCACCGTTTCGCCCGTCTCCAAACAGGACGCCTGGGAGAACGGGAGGGGGCGAAGCGACGCGTGTGCGATTGAGGGAGGAATTGATTTGAGGCGCGAGAAAGCATGGTCTGTCTGCAGGTCGCGGTTCTTGTAACGCTTGTCCTGTAACACACTTTCTATATCGCCACCGTTTCGCCCGTCTTCGAAAACGGCACTGCCACACCCTCGTCTGTTAAGAGCCTGAGATTGGCTCCAGAAAACTGGAACCACATTTGCGCGCATGGAAACAACGTCGGAATATCGAGCCTGGAAGATTTATATCCAGCACATGGACATCAATCGTCTAGTTCGCTCTATCTGTCCATTATGAAAAACAAGGACGCTAAAGGAACGTGGTCAGGGAACGACAAGAGGCTTCTTACCTGGAATACAACTCCAAACGAACCGTTCCCCACCACGCGCTCCGCCGAGTAGCTGATGGCCTGCAATTGAAAGCGACATCACAATGGCAACGCAGGAGAACAAGACAGGCCGTTTGGCTTTCAAAATATAGCAGCCAAACGGAACTATAGTAGGGAGTAATGGAGTTGGAGTTGTTTGGAGCGCATGGAGATAACCGATACTGATTATACGAGACGCGCCAGCGATAGCCAAGAGAAGTTAAGTCATGGAAATGGCGGGAGATCAACGATCGAGGGAAAAGTAGGTGTTGACAACAAGCAACTAACAACGACAATGGGCCGCCACCATCGCGGGTTGCGAAGGTCGGTTGCGACGGGAACGGGATTCAGGGAATCGCGTAATGTTCTGAAACGTTTGGAAAGCCGTCGCGAAGGGAGCGGGGATGCTGGAAGAGCGTCATTACGTTGCGACTCACTGATCAGCGACACGATGCGCGGGAGAAGGTGAAATGCTGGTACCAATATGACGATTCTTTCACGCGCGTCAAGTGCCAACGACGACGCAAGGTGGAAACTCAGTGAACGAAAATAAACGGCGCGTCGTGAATATGATGAGACATTTACAGGAAAACGCCGACGGCAGAGTTCACCTCACTTGTACGCATCACAAAAACACATGGGACTTTTGGCCGGGATGAAGCTACGGTAGAGTTAAATTAATTATATAAAAAGCACGAACCTGTTTTGGCTGACCATTCTTTCCTCCAATCGTGGTCGTAATTATGTGACCTGTCTCTGTTCCGCTTCCCTCCACGACTGCAGCATCCATGTCCTAAAGATATCATGAAACAAGCCGCAAAGGTTAGTACAGCGATAGCTGATGCGCATTTCCTGCTTTCACTGAATTAATGAAGCGCCAGAGAAAAGAAAAGAAAACACTTACCGTCCTTAACTAATGAATGCGATCTTACGTGCACGTCAAGGGTAACAGAATATAAATAATAAAAAAACGCCGGAGACAGCGAAACCGGCAATGCGCAATACGTCGACTCTCTCTCACCCGGTCGTCGTCTCGAATGGTCATGTCTTTTAATTCCCTCGGTAATTGCTCTGCTCCACCACCTCCCCCCCTCGTAGCCCTGCTTCCTGAAGCGGCGGCAGCTCCGGCACTGCTAGATGCGCCCAGAAACACACCACCGCTAGAAGACGCCATAACGCGGATAACGCGTATCGAACAGGACCGCGAGCAGCTGGCTACGGTTTATTTCTCTACGATTTGGAGAGTGAAGCTCAAGAAACAATAACGCAAGATTGAGAGAAGCTTAAAACGCGACGTCAATGCAAGCCGCTGTGTCCTGTCCTTTACACTACTTCATGCCAGCTCCAATCTTAGCAGCTCCCTAGCCATGAGGCGAAACCCTAGCCTTCTCCATCTACGACCTACAGATCCAATCACGCTCTGGGAAACAATACCACGTCTCCCGTGCGATGCGGAGAATGGCGACGACTGACAACAACAGCCTAGGGTTTGCAAGGCGGGAAACTACAGGAACAGAGGAATGGAGCTAGCGGGGAGAGAAACAGCAGCAGACTGAAAAACGGGATCCAAAAAGTTCCTAATGAAAAAACAGGCTCCGATTGTAGGTTGTTCCAACTTCCAGCTGCAAGAGCACAGCTCCAGCTCAGAATAGAGGACGAAACATTTCCTAGGGATTGACGAGCTGAACGGACAAAAGTTTGGTTGGAGGAAACTGAAACCGTTGAGGTTGTGCGGACGGAAATCGCTGGTGGGGACGGGAATCGCTGGTGGGAACGGAAATCGCTGGTGTGGACAGAAATCGCTGGTGGGTTGGGATGGTATACCTCAGCCGACGAAAACCGCCGCCCAATTTCGCGGTTGCGATAGGACAACGAACCCCCTCGGGATTGACGAGCTCCTGACGACTTGCGAGTGGCAAACTGGGGCGACCTGGCAGTCCTCCGAGGCTCTGAACCCCTCGGGATTGTCGACTATCTGACGACCTCGGGTTTCGCTGAGAGAAACACGAGAAGGATACCTCAGCGGACCCTGAACCACAGCTCGACACGTTGTGCGCCGAGCCGCGGTTACTGCCACGTGGCTTAGTAGGGACGGCCGAGATCGACCCTGACAATCGGGAGGTGCCACGACGGCGCCGACGTGGCCCCGCTTCGCACCACCGGGTATATTTCGCTGCGCGCGAAACCTGGCGCGCCGACGAAAAAGGTAACCATCGTCCACGCGGCGAAAGACGACTGGGATGGTATACCTCGGCGAAGAGAGCCCCAGAGTCAGGGAATGTCGGCGTCGACCAAGCCTCCGGCCACGCGCCTACTCGCAGGTCGATGAGGCTTGCGCGGGAGAGCAGGACGCTACGGCATTTCGGGAGAGTGGAACTAGGTCATTGGCCTATTGCACGTGGCGCACGTGAATTCCACCGTGGCAAGGCACCGGCGGGAGTGCCGTTGAGCGCAGAGCGGCGTGACACTAGACATGCATCGATCGTGACACGTCATGCCCGTGCACAGCGGCGCTTGCAAAGAGGGCTGCGTGGAGCGCGGCAGGTGCGCAGTGGCTCGCAACCATACCCCTCCTTGACCACGCACAACGCTCTCATTCTGCCGGTTCAGCTTCGTGTTTCTCTCATGCTCCTGTGCGCCATCTAGCACTTCGTTTTCTTCACAGGACCCTCGCTATCTCTGCGGGTGTAGGTTACTCGACGGCCGAGTCGACCGAGCGGCGGCACAAAGGCGACGACCTGGAATAGACTGCCATAGGTCGATGTTGGGGTCGACCATCGTCGACTTCGCCTTACTAGGTTCTAGGTCGTCATCTAGGAAAGTCGGCGACGATAGATCAGGGCGACGATAGCATCTCCCAACCTTACCGAGTCGGCGACGCGTGGCCAGAGGAAGGGCTAGTGCCCAACAGCCACAACAACTTATCCCACCCCCCGCCGATTCGGTAGACGACGACATCAAAGCGCAACTGGAACGACTCGAGGTCGACGCTGAGTTAGAAGCACTTGAGAGGGAATTCGAGGAAGACAGCCGCAGGACGATTAGGGCGTACACCGCACCTGTGAATCAGTACCATCTCTGGTTGACCAATCTTTCCCTCTTCCACGGCCGGCGGTAGAGCATACGAGCGGTCATGGACGACGTCGACATGCCCGACGTTGGTACCCCAACCGACCACAGTCCGTCCTCTGCCTCCGTAGAGACGCTGAAGTTGCTTTACGATCTTGACAAACTTACTCAGATTCCCGAAGGGGAGTACACCAAGGACATACCGAATCCGCCAATTGGGGGGTTTACGAAGAAGTCGACACCGACGGCACATGGGCAGACTGGACCTTCGTCGGTGCCCGCCGGCTCGGAAAACCAAGGTGATAACGACGAGGAGGACGAGGAGGACGAGGAAGAGAGCGACGACGAAGTCGACGACCGTCCTCCGCGTAGCACGAATCCGCGCACCTTGGAAGAACGCCTTAGGCGGGAATTTGAATACATACGTGACATGCTCGACGCGGACGAGAAGGAGGACGATCAGCACATGGCGGTGCCGCGCGAAGGGTGGAAGGCGACGGACTTTGTAGTGGACGACATGGTGTACTCCAGCATTGACGTGCTCATAATGGACGCCCTACGACACCTACAATGCTTGGAGAAGAATAGCACGCTCAGGCTGTACACCGCGTTCATCTACCACTACAAGAAGTGGGCGGCGAAGATGCTGAAGCAGCTACGCGACAAGCTACCCCATGAGCAACGACTTAGGCACGTCGACGAGATCGGCCACTACATCCGCGACAACAAGAAAGAGGATTGGTGCAACGAGAAAGTGGTCCGCCGACAGTACATCTGGCTGCACGGCCCTAGGGTCACCGAAACCCGGCTGCGCGCCTACGTGAAGCAAATGAGCCGTGAGTGTAACCTCATTGTTGACCAGCCCGGGGAGGAGAACAATGCCACGCGAACGGGGCCTGTGAGGTCGACAACTGTGCACACGATCCTCGGCCGGATAAAGGCATGCCAGATGGCGGCGAGGGTGGAGGCGACGCTGTACCGAGAGAAGGAGCTGGGCCTCATGAGGGAGATCTCGGTGGTGAGATCGGAGGTGCGGTTCAACGTCCGCCACAAGAACGAGAGGGACCTCAAGTAAGTTGGTCGACAACCTTATTATATATCACTGTGCACTGTGAAGTCGACGCAGTCTAACAGAATTTCCCCGCCGATTTGCGTTCAGGAACTGCGCCGACCGTCGACGCGGCACCATCGGCGATACCTACACCGCCGAGCAGTTCCGCCAGATCATGATGAGGGTGCTGCCGACATGGGCGGCGGCGGCGTGGAACCCGCGGGCTACCACTCCGTCGCAGACGCTGTGGCGATTCCTGCTCATCAAGGTGCTCACGCTACTCTCCCACCACACTCTCCTGCGCGGCGGCAGCATCCGCGAGATCACGCTCCCCGACATCTTCTTGTACCACCTGGCGAGCACCTCGGAGGTGAACCCGGATAGCCAGCCGGTCGTCATGGTGATCGCCGCGCGTAACTCGAAGACTTCCAAGGATGCCCGTCTTCAGCAGAGCTACGCTGCGCGACACCTGGAAGCGGAGCTGTGCGCCGTCGGCGAGACCGGCCTGTGGCTGCACTTCATCCTCGACCAGATCGGTCAGTTCTCCGGCACCGACTTTCTTTCGCCGCTTGACATCACAGAACGCGAACGCTGGTACAAGAAGCATCTCTTCTTCGCCAGAAACGACAAGGAGCAGGAGGAGCTCTCCTCCGCCACCCACCAACGTTGGACTCGGCAGGTGTGGACGACCAACAAGGTGTTCTGCAAAAGGAACGTGCACGCCGCCCGCGCCGGAGGTGCGCAGGAGTTAGCCATCGGAGGGACGCCGCGCGCCCAGATCGCCGAGCTGGGACACTGGGCTCTCGACAAGATGACGCGTGCGTACATCACGGCCATTCCCGTTGGGGTGGTGATGCAGAAGGCCGGCTACTCGGGACTCAAGCAAGACTACTTCTTGGGGCGCAGCAGGGTCGAGCCCTCCGACAAACTCCTGGACCTGCTCGCCGAGCACATCTTCCCCGGCGTGGATGCTATGCTGCGCGATGTATGTCACGCGACGCCGACAATGTATTTCAGTCGTCGTGGCCTAGTTGGCTGCCCAACTCCCTACTAACCCACGCCACTTTCCGACTTGCAGGCGGAGACGCGTGCCGTCAACGGGAGCGACGCCGCTGCAGCCGCAGTGCACTTCTTGCGCACCCTCGTGATGTTCCGACGAATCGTCGCCGAGGACCTCGCGGTGAAGCTCGTCCGCACACCGTGGCACCCGTACGTCCAAGGTTCCAAGCTCTACAGGATTGCCCTCTTCCAGCACTGGGCGAAAAGGGTCGAGTCGGTCGACACCGATACGATAAAAAAGCGCCGGGACCCGACTCAGATACAACCGGAGGTGAGTTGCCGACCATGTCGGCGTTGTTGGATTTTAGCCGGTGAATTCTAACCTCTTGTCGCCTTTCCGCACACCCAACATTGCAGGAAATATCCGTGCGCATGGACACCCAGTATCACAACATGTCCCTCAAGGAGGCGCTGAAGAAGGAGGTCGAGCGCTCGGCGCTCGAGAAGCTAGGCTTTCAGGAGACGATCGAGAAGCAAAACGACACCATCGCGTCGCTCACCGCCGAGCTTGCTCGACTCACTGAGGCACTCCGTGTGTCAGAAGCCCGGAGGATGCCGGCGGCGCCGACGTCGGCTACTGATCAAACTCCGGGCGAAGGTGGCTCCGCGGATTCGGCCAACACGGGGACCGGAGCCAAGAGAGATGATGGGAAACCCCCGCCACCCCCCCAGACGGCAGAGGAGGCCAGTTACGAGCTCAACGTCGTGCAACCTTGGCGGGATTCAAAGACCGTGCGGGACGCTTGGCGCCTCTGGAACTCCGCCACCGCCAATGACACCCGTCGTCTTTGCGACAGGGTCGCCGAGCCGGGGTTCATCGACCGCCACACCCTCCTCGCCGGCGCGACCCAGGGTGCACTCAACATGAGGGTGCGCCGCATGCTGAAGGCCATGGATGCGGTGCGCCAGCTACGCGCGAGCGACGGCGATGCCGACACCGAAGCCGTGGTCGATGCACTGAACACGATCGCGGCATCGGGCATTGGTACCTTCTGCGATGCCCTCACGGTGCTCAACCCGGAGACGGCACCGACGATGTCCAAGGAGCCTGGCATGGGCGTCAAGGGGCTTGGCCCCAAGGTGGTCTCGAAGCTACGCCTCGCCTGTGCGCTGGTGGCGCTCGAGCTGAAGCCGACGACGTGGGTCGACCGCCTGTTTCCAGACACCTGGGAGGAGCAGATGCCGAAGACCGTGGCCGACTTGGCCAAGCAGACCGCACCTGCGCAGCGTCCTCCGTCAAAGCGCAAGAAGTCGGCATGAAGATCCTCGGTGTATATGTGTTAGCGTAGGTTGATGATACCCTAATTTAGCAAACCGTTGTGTTCCCATCGTACTTGTTCATTTTGATGCAACAAGAACATACATGATCCAACACATACATCCGAACCAGATATGTCGGACTCCGACATAGTCGCCACCATGTGTGTGCAATTCATTGTGCCTTATTCATGTCGGCATCGCTGACTGCATGCAAACGGCGCAAACGGCGCCCATCACGCTATAACCGAGCAATCATACCACCTAGCGCTCCTTCCGCGCGCCGACTACGCATCCGTGCTGTCCATGCCCGCTCGATATGCGCGTCAAACGGCACATCGATGCCGACCTCCTAGAGTTTCGGCCACCTGGGCGGCGCGGCACATTCCCCAAAGCGCCGACCATTGACCATCTCGGCCTAGCCGACGATGCTCATCGCCGAGAATATACATGCATACAGCCAGACGCACTATGTCGACACCGTACGACGGGGTTCATCGAACCGGGGCCCGCATTTGAGTAACATGGTAGATATCAGGTCGACCTTGCCGAGGAGTGTTCTAGTAACATGCATTACCAAAAAGTTACAGCCAACAAAAGAAATCCCAACGAAAACTATACAATCAAACGGAAAAAAAAATCCCAAAAACACCACATAATCGACGCCGCCCATACCAGGCCATCCTTGCAAGAAGACCTACTTGCGCTCCCTCCTGCCGCCCATGGCAGATTGTTATGCCGACTACGCCGCCGTGCTGTCCTTGCCCGCTCTGCCCTTCTTCCCCTTCTTCCCCGAGCTTTCCTTGCCCTGCTTGCCCCTCGGCCTCTTCCTCCCCCTGTGTTCGATGTCGTACTCCATCTGCGCGTCAAGCGGCACCGCGATGCCGATCTTCCTGAGTTTCGGCCCATCCACGGGGCACATTCCCCAGAACGCGAGGGTTTCCACCGTCGCTCGTGCGATCAGTTTGGCCTCGGCTTCAACATCCAACCCCGGATAGGCTTTGGCCAGAGCGGTGGACTCCAGCGCCGGTGCGACGTTGTGCGCAACCTCCCCAAGGGGTTGCTGCCTGCTGATCGCGGCCTCCAGCACCGCCGTCATGACCTTCTTGAACTCGGCGGCGGTAGTCTCGCTGGCGCCGACCAACATCGCCGCCGCCTTCCCTTCGCGGACGGCATCAGCCACCTGGGCGCCGTCGCCCTCGACTAAGCACCACAGTGCGCAAGCTGAGGCCGACAGCGCCTGTGCGACCTTCGCCGTCTTCTGATCCGTGTCGCCCTCCATTCTCGCCGCGGATGCAGCGACCTCCCCATACGCCGCGCACAAGGACACGCGATCAAGCATGGCCGACATCATTGCATCCGACTTCCCGTCGGCATCGACGGGGAACCAGATCGCGGGCAAAAGCGCGTCGTGGTGCGCATCGCCTGATGTCTTGTACGCTCTATACTTCCCGAGGATGTCGTCGAACCTGTCACGCAATCACACGAAACTGGCCGTTAGGAACGCCGACGTCGACATCATAGCTTGGCCGACGTTTATCCGACTTACCTTGTCCTTGGGAGGAACGCGCCCCTTGCCCAGATCACCGTCCACATCCCAGTCGGCAAGAACCGGACTTCCTTCCACACCGCCCTCCACTGCTTCATCACTGTTTCCTCCAGGCCGGTGAGCTCGGCCATGAGGATCTTGCTGACGAAACCGTCGTACAGGAGGTACACAATGGAGTGAAGGTACGCCAGCTCCATCTTGTCGCGGGACTTGCCGATGTATCTGCTCTCGTTCCCGACCACCTTGATCTCGCCCACCCACCCTTGCTTGTCGCCCGTCGAGTCGTGGCGGATGCCATGACCCTTCCGTTCTTTCACCTTCACCTTCTCCTCCTCCGTCGCCGCCTCCTCCTCCTCCAACTTCTTCTCCTCCGCCTCCTCCACCTTCTCCTCCTCCTCCTTCTCCTCCTTCTCCTTCTCCTCCTCCTCCTCCTCCTCCTCCTTCTCCTCCTCCGTCTCCTTCTCCTTCTCCTTCTCCGTCTCCTTCTCCTTCTCCTTCTCCTTCTCCTTCTCCTTCTCCTTCTCCTTCTCCTTCTTCTCCTCCTCCTCCTTCTCCTCCTCCTTCTTCTCCTTCTCCACCATCGCCGTCGCCATCCCCTGTCCTTTCTGCACCGACTTCACCATCGCCGACGTCGCCCGTGTTTTCTTCTTCGAGCTCGGCCTCGCTTTCCCTGCGTCGACCGTCCCCTTCCGTTTCGACTTTCCCGCGCCGACCGCAGCAGTGGTCGTCTTTGGCTCCGCTGTACAGCCGGTGGGACTCGCCGAGTCCAAGATGGCCAGCACAGGGGGCTGCTTGGGGCGGTTTACCGCTTCCAACAGGTCCTGGATGGCAGCGATATCGGCGTCGTTGTGGTCCTTCGCCGCCTGTGCAGGGTCAACTGATCTGCCGCCCGTGGCTAGCGCTGCACTCACGCCCTTCTCCAGCACCGCCTCGATAGTAGCCGCACCGAGTGTGTGTGCAGCTACGGTCACCGACGTCGGCGTCGCGCATGAGCTGGATACCGGCTGAGCCCGTGCCGGCGCAGCCACAGTACGTACGCCTAACTGGGCGCGAAGCAACGCGGACTTTGGGTCCACAGGAGGACGGGCGGCGATGATAGGCGCGGTAGGTGGGGCACTGGACGTTGTGGCGGCGACCTGGGGAGTGACCGAGCGACGTGCTGTTGTGGCCGGCGCGGTGCCGACCACGGGAGGCTGCTGCACGTCCTGTCGATGGGTCTCCATGCGGCTGAGCATCTCCCTGAGCGCGTTCGCCTTTGGGGCGGACGGACCAGCGCGGTTAGCCGCAGCATCCACCGCGTCAACCTTGGCGGCAGACGTGCCTGCTGGTGCTGGAGTAGCCGCAAGGGACGGCCCATCGTTGTTGGCGGCTGACGGGGCGACCGGCGCGCTGCTAGCCGCAGGGGGTTTGCGGGGGATCGACGTGGTCCCCGCCACTCCGACGGACGGTCCTTTGACGGTTTTGGCGCCGCCATCTATCGCCGTTGGTGCGGTCGCTAGACTGGCCGGCTTCTCGGCGACCAATGGCGGGGCTGTTGGTCCAGCCTCTTGAGCGGCAACCTGGTCGGCAGGGCCCCCCTCCGCACTCCTGATTCCATCGCCCTTGCTGTGCGTCCTTATCACCTTGGCCCCGTTCTTCTTCAGCTGGTCGACCACGCTCGTACCTCCGCTCCCATCGGCTCCCTTGCTCCGCGAGCCGCCTGGAGCCACCTGGCCGACGCCGCGGCTCCCATCGGCTCCCTTGCTCCGCTTCGAGCTCAACGCATCATCTCCGCCGCCCGCCCTTTTCGCACCCTTCTTGTCGGCCTCGTTGTCCGACGGCGACGACCCATGCCGACCAGGCGCCAGATGGCCGATCACCTGGGTCATGAGGTTTAACCCGGACGCAGCAAACGACTGCTGGGTGGCCTCAGTCACCGCCTTCAACACGTCCGCCTTGAAAGACTTCATGAGCTCGTCCGGGAAGGCTGGCGGTGGGGCGGGCTGCGTGGGCGGCGGGACGGCGACGCGTTGAGTTACGGCGGCGGCGATGTTGGTCTGCGCGGCGACTAGGTGCTTCGATATGTATTCCTCCAATCCCTTCCTCGCTTCGTCCACGTGGTTGCCCAGGGCGACGACCGTGTTCGCACGTTGCACCGCCATAACCCCCTCCGGATTCTCTAGATCGTCCAACCAGCTCTCCGCCCTCTCGGCGTACGCCTTCATCGCCTCCCATGCTTCACCCATGTTGGCAGTGATGTTCTCCGTCACGGTCGTCGCCATGGTCAAGGACGCGTCCATCAGCCGACTCGACGCGTCCTGGTCGGAGGCGGCGACCTGGTCGGCCAACGACCTGAGCTTGTCCACGAGGTGGCCAATCCCCATCGCGAACCTGTCCACCCGACCCCTCTCCACTCCGAGCGCCGTCTCGAGACGAGCATTTTCAGCCCTCAGCCACATGTTCTCCTGTCGCAGCTGCGCGACGACGGCCGGCGTTGCCTGCCGACCAGCTGCTGAGGAACCCGGTTGACGGCCCGCCTCTACCGCTCCACCCCGGCGTTCCACCCCTGCGTTCCCTGTGGTGGTCTCCACGCCCGTCGGCGTCGGGGACGCGACGTTATCCTCCTCCTTCGCGTCGCCAACCACATTGCCGACCACGTGCGCCTCCTCCACGCCGACATTCTCCACATCGGCACCCTCCCCTCGCACGTACACAACATCCGCCGACATCCCGCCCGTTCCCTCCACGGCCGCCGCCGCTCCCTCCACGGCCACCTCCGCCGCTCCCTCAACATCCTCCATCTCGAATTCGACCCAGGGGAACTCTACCTCCTCCTCCCCCTCTTGCTGCTTCTCCCCCTCCGCCACCTGCTCCACCGACCCGAAACCCTGCTCCACGGCCTCCGCCGCCGCCGCCTCCTTGTCCTCCTCCTCCTCCTCCTCATCATCCTCCTCCTCCTCCTCCTCGTCCTCCTCCTCCTCCTCCTCCTCCTCCTCCTCCTCCTCCTCCTCCTCCTCCTCCTCCTCCTCCTGCCCATGCCCCTGCTCACGCTCCTCACGATCCTCCTCGTTATCATCCTGATCGTCGGTGTCATCCTCCTCCTCCTCCTTTTCCTGATCCGCGGTCCTCGCCACAGCCCTCTCTGCCTCCTCATCTGCCTTGTCGACGCCGTCTCCGGCCTCTCCGCTTGTGTCGGCGACACCGACTGCTTGGGATGCCGAAGGGGGCTCCGCGGCGTCGTCTTCACAGGCATCGGCACCAACTCCGACATGGCCTGACCGTCTGCGTGCGACGTGTTCCTTGATGTTTGTCATCATCCGAATCCGCAGCTCCTTCAACCCCGAAACGAGGACCTTGTCCATGCTGGTCGCACTGCGACGGTCGTCGCCGGTCAGGCGATCCATCCTCTTCACCACCCAGCACAGCGCGCTCATTGAGAGGAGGCCAGAGCCTGCGTCGCCGTCCCGGACGGTGTCGCGCATTTTCTGCAAACAACAGAGGAGAGAGCAAGGATGAGCACCGACGGCGGCGATGGCATCGCGCTAGGACGGTAAAACGATCGGTACTCACATCTCGAACGGGTTCATTGAAGTCGGCGAGCCTGGCCGCCACCTCTTCAGCAGAAGGCTTCGGCCACTCCCAGTGCCGGCCATCGCGGCCGAGCTCGGCCAGCACCGCCGCCCGGAAAAACCTGAAGCAACATGGCACATATCGTCAGTAGACTTGCTTAACGCCCAGCGGCGAAATTGCATGCGTCGTCGACTACACTATCGAGCTCACTTCAGCACGCGGATCGCCTCGTCGCGGTGCCACTGCTTCACGGTTTGCGGGTCGAAGTGCCGGACAGAGGTCCTGATCGTCTCTCCCCCGGCCCGCAACAAGTCGCCGGGGTACAGGATGACCACGACGCTGCAATGTGCCCCTGGAAGCGGTGCGATGCTGCACAGGCTAGGCACCACGACGTCGATCAGAACGGAGCAGCGACATAAGGCATCAAGGCACACCATCATGACTTAGGCTCACCTCGAATGCAGAGGGATAACAGCTACGTCGGCGTCGAACACCGCTGCAAAGCATGAGTGGTCTTCCTTGCCCATCGCCGCCCGAAGCCGGCCGAGTCCTATCGACCACAATCGCATGTTGGCCGGCGCCGCGCGAATCCATGCGTACCTGCACGCATGCATGGGTAGTAGATGTGTTTGAGGACGTGCACGGCACGACGGATGGACACGTGGGTTCTGGAACCGACAACTGACGGGGATGGCTAGAGTAGAACGGTGCACCACCGTCGCTACGTTGTAATCAATGGCGCCTACCGATGCGGGCACCGACCTACTGTAGTGATCGGAGTACGATGCCTACCTACGGCTGCGTGCGTCACCGAGTAGTGATCTAAACCCTAACGTGGGACAACCCTATCGACGTCGACCTGCAAGGTATCCAGCGGTCGACGTCGACATCCCAATACGGACACTCACTTGAGGCCGAATCCCAAGCAACGGGCGTTGAACTCTAGCCTATGGTCTACGAGGACGGCGTAGTCGTGTTCGTCGAGCTTGGCAGTCAGTCCACTGCCCAGGTCGAGATACAGAGGGAAGTCCTGCGAAGTCGGCGTCACTTCGCCGAGTTTCGTGGCGGCCGACATGGCGGGGAAGGGAAGCGGCTAAGGGACGTGAAATGTGGGAGAAGGCGCAGAGCTGGGGAAAAGGTGGAAAGGGAAACGAGATGCCGAAAATGAGGAGCTATGCCCCCTTCCACCAAGAAAAGGGGGTCGGTGCCCCACAGGAACGGTCGAGGCATCGCCCGGCCCTCGTGGTGCCTGCCTCGGCGGGGTTTGGCACAAGTCCTCCACAAGTGGCACAAGTCCTCGTTCGCCGCCGAGCCAGCAAGTCGATGTCACGCCCCGAAGCGAAAAACGTGCGCCGCGAAGCGATCGACATCGAATTCGCGATGTCCCGAATTGAGTTCGCAATGTATCAAATTCTGCATGTTGCCCGATGCGAAGCAGGCGGGCGAACACGTGGCGTCGCCGCAACGGGTCGCGAAATTGTCGAGCGTCCCGAGGGGGTCCCGACATTTCGCCCGGCCCTCGCCTGCCCGTCCGGGCAGGCCGCGATGGGTTACTAGGACCTCGAGGGCAGGTGGCGCGCGTGGGCTGCCTTCGCGCGAGGGTAATTTTCCCACGCGCGAGGTGTCGCCAGTTCGCCGACCCCACCCGGTAACGTGGGCCGCTATTCACGTTCGGGGCGGGGCCGCGGGGCGGCGGTCGTGCGCTCGGGCCAGCCCTGGGCCAGGCTGGCGGGCCCGCACGCGCGTCAGTGCTCCGCCCCGTCGGCCCAGGCTTCGACGACCCCCCTCGTCGACACCGGCAACTCGGGTCCGTCGACCGAATTCCGATGAGGTGTTCGGGACGGAAGTCGCCAAACAAGGACCACAAAACGCCATGACGACGGGGAAGTCTGCTGGTTGTGAATTGGCAGCGACTGTTCGTCCGTAGCAGCTAAGTTGACGGCTTGGCGAACATACACTGACGGCCGACAACTACTGGAGTTTCAGCTCAGTTAAGACCGAGAATTTGGAAGTTCAAATTGTTACAGACACTGGCAGCACCACAGTTTGGCAGCAGTTCTGAACAATAAAATAAAATTTCACCAGAAAAATGCACATTGTCTATAGTAATGTTAACTAGGTGACCTCATACAACTCGCTCGATTCAAATCCTTCCATTTGGTGCATGAAACAAAATGAATGCCTAGTAAAAATGATGGAGCAGTAATTGCACTCAGCAATATCAGAGTGCAGATACATGTATCCATGGATGTCCTGCAGTAAGAGACATCATAGGATAAGGGACATCGAGGAGAGGGGGTGGGTGAGGAGGTGGGGGGGTAGGGCTCGGGGGGACTGGGAGAGGAAGAAAGCTGGGAAAGCAGCAAAAATGGGGGTGGAGTGGTACCATCGTTCATACCACGAGACTACAGCGAGCTACAAAAAAAAAAAAGAACAAGAAACTCAACCAAACACTCACCAAGTATCTCTAAAGCCGTTATTCGCCGCTTCGGGTCCTTATCCAGCATCCGGCCAATCAAATCCTTGCACTCCTCCGGCACGCCAGCCCACTTGGCGCTCTTAAAGCTGACCTCCTTCCCTCGAATCGCCTCCGCAAGCGAGCGATTGGACGAAGCCCAGAAGGGCGGCACGCCACACATGGCAATGTACATGACAACTCCGGCGCTCCACACGTCCACCTCGGGGCCGTACTCCCCCTGGATGAGCTCCGGTGCCATGTACTGCGGCGTTCCCATCAGCTCCTTCAACCTCTCTCCTGTTGGTGGGAGAGAGTGAGAGAGAGGGAGCGTGTGTGTGTGAGAGTGTGTGTGTGTGTGTGTGAAAGAGAGAGGGAGCGTGTGTGTGTGAGAGTGTGTGTGTGTGTGTGTGAAAGAGAGAGAGGGAGAGGGGACGGTGGATTGGACAAGGCCCAAAAAGGCGGCACTCCACACGTCCACCTCGGGCCCGTACTCCCCCTGAATGAGCTCCGGTGCCATGTACTGCGGCGTTCCCATCAGCTCCTTCAGTCTCTCTCCTGTTATCAAGTGGGTGTGTGTGGTGTTGATACTAAAAAAAACGACTCCCAATATAGCTGCCCGTATTCCCCCTGGTACACCAACAGCAGCACAGCCGCGCACCCCCTCCCGCGCCGTAGGGCTCCCTCTCAACCCCTTACAACCCCTCTCAACCCCTCTTTCCCCTCATCCCCTTTCCCCACCCCCCCACACACCAAACCAAACCAAGCTCACCTTCCTGGAAGAAGGTCGCGATGCCGAAATCAACCAGCTTAATATCACTATTAAGCTGCCTGCTTGTAAGGAGGATGTTTTTGGGCTTCACGTCGCGGTGCACGATGCCATGGCGGTGGCAGTGCAGCAGCGCCGCCACCAGCTGTAGGGATCCCCCTCAACCCCCCATTCCCCTCACCCCCTTCCCACCCAAACAGACCACAAACCAAACCAGACGCACCTTCCTGGAAGAAGGTAGCAATTCCAAAGTCCACGAGCTTGATGTCGCTGTTAAGCTGCCTGCTTGTAAGGAGGATGTTTTCGGGCTTCACGTCGCGGTGCACGATGCCGTGGCGGTGGCAGTGCAGCAGCGCCGCCACCAGCTGCGCACACAGCCGTGCCCCCGCTGCTGCGCTGTAGGGGCCGTCTTTTGCCACTCGATCAAATAAGTCCCCTCCGGTACACAGCTCCATCACCATGTGCACGTGCTGTTTGGTAAGTGGGGGGAGAGAAAGGGGGGAACATTGGTGGCAGTGCAGCAGTGCCGCCAGCAGCTGCGCACACAGCCTCGCCCCCGCTGCTGCACTGTAGGGGCCGTCTTTTGTCACTCGATCGAAGTGGTCTCCTCCTGTACACAGCTCCATCACCATGTGCACGTGCTGTTGTGGGGGGGGAGAGAGGAATGGGAGGGGAGGAGAATGGGGACATAGTTGGCAGTAGCAGTGCAGCAGCACCGCCACCAGCTGTGCACACAGCCGTGCCCCCGCTGCAGCGCTGTAGGGGCCGTCTTTTGCCACTCGATCAAACAAGTCTCCTCCCGTGCACAGCTCCATCACCATGTGCACGTGCTGATTGGTGAGGGGAAGGGGAGGGAAGAGGAGGAGGGACGTTGTTAGCGATGGCGGTGGCAGTGCAGCAGTGCCGCCACCAGCTGCGCACACAGCCTGGCGCCCGCTGCTGTGCACAGCTCCATCACCATGTGCACGTGTTGTTGTGGGGAGGGGCGTGGACGCGGGAGTCGACTCAAATCCAGACCTGTCATGCCGTACTATGCAGTGTACCTGTCATGCCGTACTGTACCTGTCATGCCGTACTGTACCTGTCATGCCGTACTGTACCTGTCATGCCGTACTGTACCTGTCATGCCGTACTGTACCTGTCATGCCGTACATAGTTCCATCGTCCACTGTGCCGTGCAGCCAAGCTATGAATGGATGGCCCTGCAACATGGAGAGAGTACCTGTTGTTTCCCAACTTGGTCAAAAACCTTTTCCCAAGCCTGTTCCCAAGCCTGTTCATATGCCGTACCTTCCTGTCCTCCACGGTGTCATGCAGACGAACTATGAAGGGTTGGCCCACGCACAAATGTGAGGTCCGCACAACAAGGAAAGCCCATTCCGTTCACAATCTCTTCCCACACCTGTTCCACAGCCCTTTCCCTCCCAAGGCTATCTCACCGTACCTTCCTGTCCTCCACAGTGTCATGCAGGCGAACAATGAACGGGTGGCCCTGCAGCATGAAGATCACATTCCGTTACCACTCTGTTTACCGAACCTGTCCCGAACCTGTCCCGCCGTACCTTCCCGTCTTCCAGAGTGTCGTGCAGCAGAACAATGGAGGGATGGCCCTGCGGTATAGCGAGCCTAACAGTCACCACTCTGTCTGCAAACCCGTTTCCCGACCTGCTCCCAAGCCTGTTCCCGAGCCTGTTCCCAAGCCTGTCTCGTACCTTCCTGTCTTCTACTGTGTCATGCAGCCGAACGATGAAGGGGTGGCCCTGCAGCATGGAGAGAGTGGCCACCTCCTTCCTCAAATCCTGAGCCTCCTCGTGCGACTGGTGGCGATGGATATCCAAAACAACAGGGGACGGGGACGAGAGTGAAGTGAAACAGGGAAATTGTTATGAGGCGCCTCAGAAGTAGGGTGGCCCTGCAGCATGGAGAGCGCGGCAACCTCGTCTCTCAAATCCTGAGCCTCCTCGTGCGACTGGTGGATGGACAGACAGGGGATGAAAGAGAGAAACCAGGGAAATGCCTCTGAAGTGCCTTAGGTACGGATGAAGGAAACTCAGGGAAAAAGGTAAGAGAGAAAGAAAAAAACAAATTAGAAGAGGAGGAGAAGTTTACCCCCCTCACCTTGATCTCAGCCTTCTTGACCGTCTTACACGCCAGCTGCATGCCGCTGCTGATCTCCAGACACCGCCGGATCACCCCGTACTGCCCGCTGCCCAGCTTCTTGTTGTGCAGAATATACCGCGTTCTCAAATCCTCATACGGCTTCTCAAATATGTAGTCTGTGGGGCGAAGGCTGGGGTACGTCCCTCTGTGGTGGTCCTTCAAGCTGCTTACACCTATTGCGTGCCCTTGCAAGGGCCCTATCCCCCCTCCTGGTCGACTGCTGGGCCAGGGTGCGGGTGCGGGTGCAGCAGCAGCAGCACTGGGGGTAGAGGCGTTGCTGGAAGCACAGGCAGCAGCAGCAGCGTCAGCTGCTCTCACTCCTCCCCCTTTCGTTCCGTGCTGATTCTCCTCCTGCTCCTGCTTCTGCTGGGTGTGCTGCTGCTGCTGGTGGGGAAAGAGCAGGGAGGAGGGTCCACCAACAGAGGTCATAGAGAAGCCAGGAGCTGAAGAGGTCTCTGTTCCGCAATAGTACTTCCGGCGCTGCTGCTGCTGTTGCTGCTGCTGCTGATGGTGTTGCTGGTGTTGCTGGTGTTGCTGGTGGTGGTGGCGCTTATGCTGTTGCTGCTGATCGGCATCGTGATGAGTATAATACCCTTGCATATCGTTTTCCCCAGCGCTTCCACCCATCCTCCCCTTCCGCACACCACCGCCACCACCACCAGCCACAGCACCAGATGCACCTGCAGCAGCAGCACCAACAGCAGCAGCAGCGCCACTCCCACCACCATCCTTAGCCCTAGCAAGCCTTCTCTCTGCCTGCTGCTCCAGGATTAACCCAATCTGCTCCTTAGGAACACCCTTCAGCTGAAACCCTGCTAACATAGCAACACCAGTACCAGGAGAAGAGAAGCCAATACTTAGATCTGCATCACTCTCATTCCTGCAGCTTCTGCTGCCAAGCACACCGCTGCCCCCTCCCCCGCCTCCTCCCCGCGCCTCCCACCCTCCCCGGCCCTCGTGCACTGCGGTTTGGTGCGGCAACGGGCCTCCCCCGAGCCTGGCCTTGCCTCGGGCGCCGACCCTGCGGTCGGAGTGGTTGACGAACCTGGCAGGTCGGTCCGGCGAGTCAAACCCTAGGTCACTGTTCACGTCACTGTTCAAATCACTGTTCATGTCGTCTTCCTGTTCGTTGTCCTTATCCATAAACGAGCCAGTGTTGGCTGGGTGGTCTTCTTTGTCTGCTAGCATGTTCGGGCGGATATATTCGGCACTTTGTCGCCGTGGGCGGCGACTCATGGCTGTTCTTGACTCACCACCACCAAACTCAGTGGCAGCACCAGCACCAAGACCAGCAGCAGCCCAAACATCCCGACCCCCACCACTAGCACTGGAAGTAACAGCAGCAGCAACGGCGGCAGCAGCACCGCCACCACCAGAAGCAGTGGTAGCACTACCAAAGGGAACAATATCAGCACCCCCACCCCCAACCCTAACATTACCAATCCTAGCAGCTGCGGCAGCAGCAACGGCTGCAGCAGCAGCAGAATCAGAATCAGCAGCAGGAGAATCATCGTCATCATCATCATCAGCACCATCATCATCACCATCAGCAGCAGCAGCAGCAGCGCCAGGCCGTCTCTCCCTCACATCATGCCCATCAGCCGCACACGACACGCGCCTTGCACGCCGATTGACCTGCTTCTGCTTCTGCTGAAGAGTCGTGACAAAACCTGACACGTCATCAGGTGAATCTCCAGGTATGCCGAGCCTGAATGTGGCTTCCAAGCCTGCCGCTGCCACTGCTTCCACTCCTGCTGCCGAGCCTGCAACTGCCGAGCCTGCGGCTGCCAAGCCTGTGGCCTCCAAGCCTTCTCCTGCCAACACCACGTGAGGCTCGGCACCCGAAGCAGCAGGTTCGGCAAGATCAGCATCTGAATCAACTGCACCAGGAGCAGCAGCAGCAATAGCAGCAGGAGCAGGAGCAGGAGCAGCCTCAGCAGCAGCAGTGTGAAAGAAGGAGGAGAGGACAGGAGAGGGAAGCAGGGACGGCAGAGGGGAGGTTGCAGCGTGACCTCTGCTTGATCCACTACCAGTAGCACCAGCACCACCACCACCAATGCTGCTGCTGCCACCACCAATCAGAGACTTGAGGGTACCAGAAGCAGCAGAGAAGAATCTAGCAATCGGTTGATTACCCCTCCCCACATGCTGCTGCTGCGGCTGCTGCTGCGGTTGTGGTTGCTGCTGCTGCTGGGATGGCAGTGCTGGCTGTGCCAGCTGCCCTTGCGTCTGCTCGCTCTTGCCATCTCCCTTTTCTTTCTCTCTCTCTTTCTCCTCCGGCTTCTGCTCTTGCTGCTTGTGACTCTGCCTCCCTGACAATATCTTAGTAAGGGTTGGCCGTCTGCCGGAGCGACTGGATGGCCGCTGCTGCTGGAACTGCCGCATCTGCCCCTTCTTCTTCTCCTTCTCCTTCTCCCTCTCCTTTTCCTTCTCCTTCTCCTTCTCCCTCTCCTGCTGCTCCTGCTCTGCGAGCAACCTTCCCTCCTGCAACCACAACTCCTCCTGCTGCTGCAGCAGCAGCTGCTGCTGCCTCATCAGCTCCTCTTGCTGCTTCTGAAGCGCTGCCCGCTGCTGCTGCAACTCCTCCTGCTTCCGAAGAATCTCCAGCTTTTTCTCCCTTTCCCTCTCTCTCTCCCTCTCCGCCTCTTCCTCCTCATCCGTCCCTTCCTCCTCAGGCTCCAGTTCTCCCGAGCCTTGCAAAGAGGCTTGGCGTTGGTTCGGCATGGACAAGCCAACGGGAGAACGAAGAACGGGCGACGCGGTTAAAGAGGGTGGTGGTGACAATGACGGGAAGCGGGACATCCTTCCACCATAATCACTCGTTGCACTTCTACATCCCTTATCGTTTAAAGCACTTTCGCTAGGAGAACGGCGCATGCCCAACCCAACACCACCAGCACCAGCATCGGCACTTAAATCCCCCTCTCGTCTCGAGCTTTGGGACGTCTCAAGACTTAAAGCCTCCTCTCGCGAGCTTTGGGACGTCGCAAAAGTTAAAGCCTCCCGCCGTCGCCGGGAGCTAAGGCTCCTCTCCAGCTCCAATTGGTCCCTCCTCCTTGCACTCAGAGTTCTCTCCAAACCCACCTCTCCGTCTTCTCCTTCCGCTCCCCCACTCTCTCCCCCCTCTCCTCCTCCTCCTCCTCCTCTTCCCCCCCCTCCCATCCCTCCATCAGCGAGTGCAGTTGCAGTGGTAAGTGCTGATGCTTCCCTTCGTCTGGCACTTAGTGTTCGTTCCATTTCCGCCTGGTCTCGCCTCCTAGCACTTAAACTTCTCTCCAGCACCCCATCACCTTCCTCCCCTAACCCTACTCCTCCCCCTGTCTCCGTCTCTCCTACTGCTGACGTGGCAAGAGGCCTCCTCTCGTTTCTCCCCCTCCAACTCACACTCCTCTCCCCCTCCCCGCCCCCTCCTATTCCCCCACGCCCCTTAGGAGAAGCCTCAGAATAGTAAGTTGACCCTGATGAATACAAATCTTTTTCTACAGTATAACTGTTTCCCACTGTAGACGCTACAGTGCTACCCCCAAGAGGAGACGCGACGGTCTGAAACGCGAATTCCTGAGCTCCGCGTCTCCTGTTCGGCGATTGGACAACCCCACCGCCCGCTCCCCCTGCGCCCCCTCCCCCGCCACCGCCCACACTCCCCCCTCCGCCAGCGAAAGCCGCCATGCTTGCGCTCCAGCCCCCTAACCCTAATCCCAAGGGCGATTCTTCCCTCCCCACCGAAAAACTTAACCCCAACGATAGCGCCTGCCTCCCGCCTGTTCCCGCCTTCCTATCCCCAGCAATTTCCCTTCCTCCATCATCCCCCTTCCCGCCGCGTCCCCTCCCGCTGCCCCCTCCGCCGCTGTCGTTTCCTTGTGCGCCTCCCCCCTCTCCCCCCTCTCCCCCCTCTCTCCGCGCGACCTCATTCGCGGCGGCGCGAATCTCGGCGCTGATTGCGGGGCCAAGGGACACGTGAGAGAGGAGGCGCGGGCGGGAGAGGGGGGACGAGAGCGGGGGCGAGCGCTCGCGCTCCGCGCGAATGGACGCGCTCGCGCCGCTTGCGCTTCCGCCACTTGCGCTTCTGCCATTTGCACTTCCAACGCTTGCGCTTGCGCGCACACCAGGCACACGTGCGCTTGCGCCACCCGTCCTGCTCCCCCCATCCGCCCCTTCGCCGCTGCCGTTGCCCTTCCCGCTGTACGCGCCGCTAGTACCGCCACCAGCCCCGCTAGCACACTTGGTCGACGTGCTCTCCCGCCTATCGCTGCCAATTTCGCCGCCCCCACTGCTGCCGCCGATGCTGGCGCTGCTGCCGCCGATGCTGCCGCTGCTGCCGTCGCTGCTGCCGCTGCTACCAATCGAGGTCAACTCCCGCCGGCCAGAATATTGCGGCGCTTTTAGCGGACTGCGGTTTCGTATGCTGCCGCTACTGGGGGATTTCGGCATAATAAGGCTTGCTCTCGTTCTCGCGGAAATTCCGGCGGGAAAGGTGGCGCCGTCCGCGGTAGTCTGCACCCGCTCCCGTTCCTTAATAGGCGGCGCCTGTGACTGTGCTTGCGCCTGCGACTGTGCTTGCGCTCGCCTGTGAGCTTCCCCCAATCCCTCCACTTCAGCTCCTGCCGTCTGCCCTTGCGCCTGCTCCTGCGCCTGCGCATCCACCTCCGCCTTTAAAGCGGGTGTTTGCGCTGTTCGCCCAAAAAGCACCGCCGCAGTATCCATAGAGTTCAGTTGCGCGCTAGCAGCGCGCCGATGTCCCCGCCTATGCCCCGACGCGGCGGAACTTCCCCCTGACGCGGCGGAACTGCGAACCTCCGCCGATTCCGGCGCCTCAAGCGAACCGGCGCCTTTTCCGCGGTGCAAAACGGCGGAAAAGAGCATCCCCGCTTGAGTGGGGTCAAGCGCGGCCATTGGCGGACCAGCGGACTCATTCGCGGAAGAACGCGGGGAACCAAGGGGGAGGCGGGCAGCTCGCGGGGACTTGGGGGGAACGTATTGCGCATGATGCGCAGGATCTGTGTCGCCGCCGCCGCCCTCGCGCAAGCGGGGGGACGCGCGCTCGACCTCCGCGGAGGCGTTGGGGAAGGGACAATGCGACCGATCTTGCTGCTCATGCGCTTGCGCGCGCGTATTCTGCGCGCCATTCTTCCCCTGCGCAGCGTACGCCGCCCAATCTCCGCTCGTCTGGCGGTTTGACAGATGCAGCCTCCTCGCGCCGCCGTAAGCGGGACTGCTGCCGGTGGTCGCGGCGCCGCCATTGTTGGAAGCTTCATAGCCACGAGCCGAGGGTGATTCTTTCGCCGCGGCTGCCGCCGCTCTCGCCGCCGCGACATCCGCTAAGTCGATGGACGAGCGTCGACCGAGCCGCGTGACCGCCCCGCTTTGGTTGCGACCTGGCTGCCGCTGCTGACTCATCAACAGCTGGCTATGCTGCTTCCCCTCGCGCTCCCCCTTCCGTTCCCCCGCCCCCTGCAACATCCGCTCCCCCGTCCCCTGCAGCGGTCTCTGTTCCTGCGGCGATTGCACCTGATAAAACTCCTGAAGCTGCGCCAGGGGCGACAGAGACGAGCGCCGCTCCAGCCGCTTCGCTGGCGCGTGCCGAGGCTGGCTTAACCAATCAACGTCGAAAGCGCCTGGCCTCGGATCAACATGATCTCTCGTTACTGTCACACCCTCGCTGGCGCTCGCGCTGTAATCACGTCCGCGATGCTCACCGTGAAACGCGCCGTGGATGTGGAACCCGTTGTCCGGAGAGCTGCCGTCTTGAACGCCGTTAAATCCGGAGTCATGGAACCCGCCATGCTGAGACTCGCTGCTATAGAAATCGTTATTATGGAACCCGCGATTGTGAATTCCGCCTTTATGAAACCCGTCAGCTTCTCCCCTGCGAGCTTGCGCGGCTGTGAGTTCCGGGAGGTTTCGTGCGTGACGTCTTGCCAAAAGCGAGGACTGGTCTTCGCTACTGTTACTCCCGTCCATTTTCGCTACAAGGTCGCCTGACGTTGCCAGACAAACTGCGTCGTTACTGTGTGAGCAGCTTTACTGGCATAGTTCCTGCGCGTCGCGCGACTGCGACTCCCGAACGAGATAACAGCAAAAGTGAGATGCTTAGTGAGACGGTTATCGGTTTAGCCGCCTAAACCCCAACATAGTGTCAGATCAGAACGGGCCACTCACAAAAATTACGCGTATTGACAACGTTCTGGTCAATCGAACGTACAGTAGAGCCATTCGCGGAGATCATTGAATCATAAGGCACAGACCCGATTCGAGAACGAACTGGCAGGAAGCAGTAGCACTAGCATGTGATGCGCTGGAGGAACTGGTGGTACAAGCCAGATTTGATACTCCTTGTTCACAAAACCTGGCTGGGAAGGCATCGTGTAAGGATGGCACGCGATTCGGGAATAAGAGACGAGGAAAGGACGATAGGGTGATGTTGCAGGGACACCTGTAAAAGAAGCTGGGTGGCCAAAGGCTTGGGTTCGTCGCGTAGCGAAAACTCTTGTCGCGCAGAGAATTGCGACGAGACGTGCTTGGCTGTAGGAGTGACTCTGGTGGTAACTGGCGATATGTTTGGCGCGAAGGTGTATGCCTTTCTGTCTGGGATGTGGCGAGAGCTGGCGAGGATTTCGCACAAGCTGGTGACAGTTTGGGTGGATGTGTTGACGGCTAGATATATCTCTTGGATGTGTGGATTTCGCTCAAGCTGAAGGACACGTCACGTCAATCATGCGTCAAAACCAGCTTGAAAAAAGCCACTTGGCCGATAGTCGGTACAGTTTGAAGTGCCGAGAAGACAGATACATCCTAATTTGAAGTAATGTACTAAAGCTAGCAATCCAAGGCGGTCTGCACTGAGTTTTTGCGTGCGATCCTCATGTGTTTGGATTTCGAGTAAGCAATTACAATATTCTTGTAGATTTACAGTAGCAAAAACCTTAAAAACGTGTCTGAAGTCAGGCTTTTTTAGAAGCGATGAGAAAGTTGCCTTTATAAATCGTGCATGACCTGATACAGATTTCATGTTTGCTGACCTGACAAGACATCACACAGCATGAGGTTCTCCCAACCAGCCAATCAAGATACGCCCACCCTCCGTATCTTTCGACACCAAGGTGTGCGCGAACGGAGCAGCTCCCAACCCAAACCTCCCCCAGCTGGAGAAAGCTTTCGCCTTTCGCTGCGTTCAGGCCAGAAGCTGATTTGCAACTAGTCTACTGCTGTTTAGCCTTAACACATGAAGTAAATATAACTACCTATAAACGTTCTGGACAACGGACTCATACCTTAATGAGTGGGTTGATATTGAGTAATAATGCACCAACGTGAGTTTCACATAAACATCCCTACAGTGACTTATCATGTATGCCAACACCAGATGCCCATGCCTACTCTGCAAGTACCGGTAACTGGGAAGGAAATGGAACACAAATCTACCATCTTAATTGAGACGACAAAAAGTCGAAGTGCAGGTGCTGTTTGGGACAAAATGGCTTATCCCCCTTATGAAGCCACAACCTGCCCCCCATCCCCACCTCCTCCTTCCGAGACTCCTCATCTATCTGTCACTCAACTACACTTCCTCATTCTCCTTGTTCACCACACCGATCCCTTCCGGCCCAGTCACCACCGCAAGACGCTGCAGCTTCACAGGCTTGGTGGGGCTGGCAACACGAGAGGCAGCAGAGAAAACAGCAATCCTCTTGTTCACATTCCCTATCCCACCTGTCGCCTCCACCCCCGCCCCATTCCCTCCTGTCCAGGACCTCAGTACAGATCGGCCCGCACCCGCCCCGTCCTCCGCACCAGCCTCGTTCACAACCCGCGGAAACACCACCCCACCCCCAGCAGCTCTGTTGCTCAACCCCATGGAACGACTCCCCTCCCCTCTCGCTGTAATCCCCTCCCCAATCTCCTTTGCAGCAAGCAGCTTCTTACTCAGATCCTTCTCTCCTTCCAGCCTCTGAATCTCCTTCCTCAGCTCCTTTTCTCCCTGCTTCCGCCTCTCCACCTCCTTCTCCAGCTGACTCACCCGGCTCGCACTCACCTTCAGCTCCTGTTCAATCTTCTCCGCAGCAGCTGCTGCACTCGCCTGCATCTCCTCCTCTTGCCTTTTATACTCCGCAACCTTCTCCCTCAACTTCTCTGCCTCAGCTTCCAGCTGAGGCACCATCTCTCCCTTTTCACCCTCCAGAGCAGTTTTTACTGCCCGGACCACCTCCAACTCCGCCTCAAGCCTCTTCAGCTGCCCGTTTGCATTTGCCAGCTTCGCCTCGGCTTCCCGACGCCCCTTCTCCGCCTCATCAGCCGCTCGCTTCAACCCCGCAGCCTCCTCCACCAGAACCCTCACCTGTGCCTCAATTCCCTGCCTCGCCCCCCTCGCAACTTCCAGCTCCCCTTCCGCGTTCTTGCATTGCCGCTTCAGCAGCGCCTCCTTCCCCTCACGCTCCCTCATCTCCCCTTCCACCTTCTTCAGCTTCCCCTCCAGCCGCTGGGCCAGAGCAGCCTTCTCTGCTGCCACCTTCTTTGCTGCTTCCTCTCTCCCCTTCATCTCCCCTACCATCCCCTGCAGCCTCCTCACCTCCCCGTCCAATCCCTGCTCTCCATCCATTACGCCATTGTTCACTGCCTCCTCATCCCCACTCCCTGGCTCCGCCTCCCCAGCGCCCACTCCCATCCCCTCAACAGCAGCAATGACCGTCCCCATGCGCTCCGAGTGCCCTCTCTTACCCATCTCTGCAACCATCAGCTCCAGCATTTCAATCTCCTCACTCTTCTGCTGCACAGCTGCCACCAGCCGCTGCCTCTCAGCATCTCCCTCCAACAGATTCTCCTTCATTCCACCCTTCTCTTCCCCAGCGGCCCGCACCTGCTTCTCCGACTCCACTACCTTCCCAAGCAGTGCCTCTCTCTCACTCACCATGGCAGCCACCTCAGCTTTCATCGCATCAACTTCTTGCCCCATCCCCTTCCCCTCCACACACCCCGTGTTCTCCACAACTGCCCGCTCCTGCTGCTCCAAGATCACCACCTTCTGCAGCAAACCATCGCGCTCGCTTGTCATAGCAGACAAATCCACCCTCATAGCAGCAGCAGCCCTCCTCTCCTGCATAACCGCCGCTTCAGCAGCAGCAAGCTCCTTCTCCAGAACCGTCAGCTTCTGCCTCGCCATTCTTGCCTCCTCCTCTGCCTCTCCCTGCTTCTTCTCAGCCTCGCCCAGCTGCTTCTGGAGCAGGAAAACCTTCTCCTGAAGCCCTCCCATCGCCTCAGCAGCAGCAGCACCTGCTGCCTGCTTCTTCTCAGCATCAGCCAGCAGCTCTCGAAGCTGAGAAACTTCCACGTCGAGCCCGCCCACTATCTCACCCATCACCTCCTGCTCAAAGCGAGACCTCAAGGCCGCAAGCTCCTCTTCCGCCGACTCTTCTTCTGCAACCACAGCTTCCGTCGTGCCCTTCTCGCCCTGATCTGCCTCCAGGAGTTCCTCCTTCTCACCAACCAGCACTCCTACGCCCGTCTCCTCTTCCTTCTCCACCAGGTCGAAATTCAGTGCCTTGGGTGCTTCCTCCTCGTCCTCTTCCTCATCGTGTACTCCTGCCATCACCACATTAAGACCACCTTCTATTGCGAGCCAAGCAGGCGTACCAGCAGCAGCTACACCAACAACAGCTGCAGCAGCAGGAGCAGCAACACCACCAGCGGCTGAAGCAGGAGAAGCAGCAGCACGAGCAGCAGCAGGAGACTTGAACTCAAACACCCCCACCACTCCACCTCCCTCCCCCCCTCCACCCTCACTGCCAGTCGTCTCAACCTTCTCCACAACCCCCTCCCCGCCCTCAGCAGCCATAGCAGCCACCCGGCTCCTAAACCTCCTTGCATACAGCCCGCTCTGCCCAGGATTCGGCGCCAAGATCAGCCCAGGCGTCCCGCTTCCCTCCTGCTGAGCTCCTCCCATTCCCACTGCGATCACCGATCCAGAAGCCAACCGCACGGGGCTCTCCTCACGCTCCTCCTCCCCGCCATCTCCCCTGCTCCCCTCCGGCCTCCGCCTCTTCCTCTCCCGCCCCAGCTCCTCCCTCAGCGCAGCCAGCTCGCACTCCATGCGCTTGATCTGCCGTGCGCGCCGCCAGCGCTTGCCGTTGGACTCCTCCAGCATGCGCCTGAGCGCGTCCAGGTCCTTCTCGCGCTCCTCCAGGGTGGCGGACGCGCACAGCAGCTGGTGCTGCAGCTGGGACACCTCCGCCTTGCGCGATTCGGTGCCCTGTGGAATGGGACATTCAGAGAGGAGAGAGAGAATTTTAGACAGGGGTTGGGATGTTTCGACAGGAGCAAAAGAATTAACAAAGAAGGAGCTTACAGACTGTTGATGAGAGAGGTCAGGGGTGAGATGCTCAGATAGGAGAACCCCTTTTCCCCTGAAACGGCTCGAAAGAATGGGTCTCACCTCCTTGGCGCGCTTCAGCTCCTCGCCCATCCGCTCAATGGTCCACTCAGACGCCGACAGCTGTTCGTCCTTGTCCGCCAGCTCAGCAAGCTGCACATGCACAGTCAGAGTTACACAGAAACATCAGGAACAGTGATGACGTGGTGGCAAGAGGACCGTCCTCTCACACACTATCAGCGTCCAGAACTTCCTGACAGAATTTCAGAAAGAGCATGTGATTCCAAAAACCAAGGCTCGAATGGCAAAAAACACGGTCAAGGAGTTGGAAGAGAGAGGAGACGGAGTCGAGAGGGAAAGAGAGAAGCATGAGGCGGAGAGAGGGAGAGAGCCTCACCTGCTCATCTGCGTCTTGCAGCTTGGCCTCCAGCTCCTTCAACCTCTCCTCCATCTGCGCCACCTGCTGCGCGCGCACCCCCTCCTGCTCCAGCCTCACCAGCAGCTCCCTCACCTCCTCCACCAGGGCATCCCCCGCATGCCCACTCTCCACCCCTCGCTGCACCGCCGCCATCAGCCCCTGCCGCTGCTCCTCGTTCCGCCGCCTCATCTCCCACTCCAGCTCCTTCACCCGCTTTTCCAGCGCCTCCACCTCCTCCTGCTTCCGCCGCGCCTCCTCCTCCATCCTCCCCTCCCGCGCTCCCATCTCCGCCAGTTTGCCTTCCAGCCCCACCACGATCGACCCCATCTCTCCCTTCACCTCCTCCACCTCGCTCCGCCTCCACGCCTTCTCCTTCTCCGCCTCTTCCCGCTCGCTCTTCATCTCCCGCTGCAGCCCCACCACCACGTCCTCGTGATCTCGCATCATCGACTCCTTCTCCTTTTCCATCTCTGCAACCTTCTCTTCAACCAGCTCGCGCGCAGCCTTCTCGGCCTGAAGCTCCCGCTGAGCATCCCCAGTCTTGAGCACCGCAGCTGCCAGCTCCCCGCTCAGCCGGTCCGCCTCCTCCCTCGCGTGCTTCTCCTCCGCGCGCGCGCCTTCCAGCGCCACCCGCGCCTCCTCCAGCTGTTCCGCCAGCTTCTCCGCCTCTCCGCGGCGGCGCTCCTGCTCTGCCGACAGCTCCCGCTTCAACTCCGCGACCCTCTCCTGAAGCACTCCGATCTCCTCCTCGTATTTCCCCACCAGCCGCTGCTCCTTCTCCTCCAACTCGCCCACCTTCGCTTCCGCCTCCTCCCGCCCAGCCCTCTCCTCCTCCGCCGCCATCCCCGCCTTCTCCGCGTCTGCCTCTGCGTTGTGCAACTGCCTCTGCAGTCCGTCCGCCTCCTGCGCAATTTCCGCCAGCCGCTCCTCCGCGCGGGTCACAGCCGCTTCCTTCTCAGCGACTGCCGCTCGTACCTCGCTCAGCTCCGCCTCCATGCGACCCTTGTCATGCGACAGTTGAGAAACGTCGCACAGCAGCTTGTCAACTCTCGCCTGCATCGCCTGCTGCTCATCCCCCGCTGCATCCACGTCACCACTCAGCTTATCCACCTGCGACTGAAGCTCCTCCACCTTCCGCCCCATCTCCTCCCTCTCCCGCGAGATCTCCCGCTTCAAGCGCGCAACCACCTCCTCCGCCTCGTCCTTCCCGGCCTTCTCCCTCTCCACATCCGCCGTCGCAGCAGCAAACGCCTCTCGCACCTCCTCCACCACACGCTCCAGCGCGGCAATCTTCCCCCTCCCCTCCTCCACCTCCCCGCACGCCTCCGCCTTCTCCCTCAAAGCATCCTCCGCCCTCGCCCTCTCCTCCTCGACTTCCCTCCTCAGCCCGTCAACCTCCTTCTCTGCAACGGTGAGCTTCACCAGTATTCCAGCGGCCTCACTCGCCTCCCGCTCCACGCGCCCTTCAACATCCTCCACCACCTCGCGCAGGATCCCCATCTCTTGCGCCAGTCTCTCGCATTCCGCCGTCACGCGCTCGAGCTCGGTCTCCGCCTTTTCCTTCGCCGCCTCCATCGCCCAAAGCTCGCTCTCTGCCTTCTTTCCGGCCGCTTCAGCTGCTGTCGCTCGCTCCAGAAGTCCGGCGATCTCTCCCTCCTCCCCAGCGACCACCCCTTGCAGCTGCACTACGCGTTCTTCCGCCTCCCGGCACCTGCCTTCCAGCTTCGCGCGCGCACTCTCCGCAGCGCTGCTCTCCGCCAACCGCCGTTCCGCCTCCTTCGCCGCCGCAGCCTCCGCCGCTTCTGCCCTCCGCACCAACTCCGCCACCTCGCTCGCGCGCACTTCCACCTCCCGCCGTAGCACCTCGATCTCCGCGCCCGTCTTCCGCGCCTCCTCCTTGGTCGCCTCGTACGACTGGCGCAGCTGCGCGCGCGCCTCCTCTGCCTGCGCCTCCATGCGCCGCTCCGCATCCTTCAGAGCCGCGCGCACAACACCCATCTCGTTCCCCATCCTCTCCCTTTCCTCCACCACCCCCTTCAACTCTTTCTCAAGCCGTCCCACCTTCAATTCGGCCTCATGGCTCTGCTTCAACACCCGTCTGCACTCCTCCTCACCGAGCTCCACCTTTCCGATCAGCTCCGCGTTCTCTCTCTCCAGCCTCTCAACAGCCTTCAGCAGTCCCGCCACCCTCTCCTCGAACTCCGCGCATTTCCTCTCCGCGGAACCAACCGCAGCCGCCACCTCAGCGTGCCTCCGCTCCTTCTCCGCGCGCAGTGCCTCCTCCGCTTCCCCGCACTTCAGCTTCACCTCCTCCAGCGCAGCAGCAGCCGCATCCAGCTCCTTCTGCAGTCCCTCAATCTCCTGCACCTTCTGATTCCCCGCCTCCTTCGCCGCCTCGTGCAGTCTCCCCGCCTCGCGCTTCAACTCCGCAAGTTCCGCCTCCAAGCGCGCAATCTTCCCCGCCAGCTCCCCCTTCTCCGCATCCCTCCCCCTTACCGCCGCCTGCAGCTCCTCCTGCAGTTGCTCCTTCTCCCGCTGCATCCCTTTCATCTTCTCCTCCAGCACACACACCGCGCGCCTCCCCTCATCCTCCGCCGCTTTCACCTTCCCTTCCGCCTCCGCCGCCCGCTTCTCCGCGCTCTCCTTCCCCATGCGCGCCATCTCCGCCTGCAGCTCCAGGTCCGCGCGCTCCCCCGTCATCGCCTTGAACTCCTTCTCCAGCCGCTGAGCGTCCGCCATGCGCTGTTCCGCCAGAGAAACCCGGGCTTTAAGCTCGTCGTTCTCTTTACGCACTGCTGCCGTCTGTTGCTCCACGCTGCCGGATCCTGCCGCCAGTTGGTTCATTTGCTCCTCCCGCTCTTCCCGCTCGCGACGCTGGTCTTGGAGTTTCGCAGTCAGGTGAGCCACCTGAGACATCACAAAGCGGATCAAGAGAGAAAAGAGAATGTTGTAGCGCAAACTTAAACGGGAATAACGGAGAACAAGGAAACTAGTAGTGCAAACCGAAACGCGTACAACAGGGAGAAGAAGCAAAAAAAACAATCTCCCTTACGCCGCTGGGCATCACCAACGCACACCAACCCAACCAAAGCCAGCCTTTCCTCAACCCACCTGCTCCTTGAAACGAGCAGCGCTAGCCTCAGCAGTTTTGAGGATCTTGGCGTAGTCGCGATTCTTGAACTCCGCTTCCTCCAAAGCTCTCTTCACCTCCTCCAGCTCCACCTTCATGCCCTGCGCCCCCTTCGCCTCCTTCTCCGCGCGCTGCAGTCGCTCGATCTCTGCCGGCCCCACCCACGACCAGGCCCAACACAAGACACGCATTAGCACGGCAAAAGGGAAAGTAGAACTCGAAAGCGTCGAGTTTCCTGGCTTCGGCGATGGCTGGAGCTCCGGACAGTGCGAACAGATCATTATGCCTGCCGGCAGAAAATGTCTGGTATTACGGAATGACAGAAAGCGGTTTGGAACGAGGAATGGTGGACTCACCAGTGCGCGCGTCCTTCAGCTTCTTGGATAACTCCTCGCTTACTTTCACCTTCGCTTCGTCCTGCTTCTTCAGATCCTCCAACTGCAAGTTCAGATCTCTAATCCTGAAAGTTCCAAAGACGCAGAAATAAAAACACAGTTAATCATCAACAGGTGAGCCACCAAAGAATTTCGAAATCGTTTCAAAATTACATGAGCAGCGTTCCTCGCTCTTCTCGACTGGGCGTTAATGAGAAACAAAAAACGTAAATAGCAAGATGCCTGAGCTTCGGAGCAAGATGCCTGAGCTTGAAGTACGTACTGGTCTTCCAACTGGCATCGAATCGTCGCCGCTTGTCGCTGCTTGTCCACGTTCCGCTTCAGCTCTTCAAGGTAACGAGCGCGCTCACCCTCCTTTTCCTGCACACGCGACAGCCAAACCGAAGCAGCATGAGAAATAATCATCTCTGTGATGTCTCAACCTCAGTGCGTGCGCACTGTCCGCTCCTAAACTCACATCATCCAATCCAGAGCAGCGCAAGCGAGCAAGTAACAAGTGCAGGTCAGTGCTGCGAAACGATAGATCGATACATCAAGAGTTACTTCGAGAAATCGTGTACGCGTTACCATGCTCCAGTACCTGTTTCGCTATAGCCAACGCTGCGTTGGCTTCCTCGCTTTCCGGTTTCAACAGCAGTTGCGTCTCCTGAAGCTTGTCTTGAAGGCCCTTCACCTCCGCATCGCGCCGCTGAAGCTGCGTCATCAGGTTCATCTTCTCCCGCTCGGACACCTGAAGCTCCTGCGATAGTCAACGAGCAACGATTTTGCGATGTATTGCGTATTAGACATTGATTTCGACAAATAAGGCAGAATGACGTTGGTTTGCAGACTTGCAGACGATAGTTTTATCAATGTTTGTTTAAAACAGCTCCAAAGAAAATCTGATACCTGAGTTCGTTTTGAAGACTCTTCCTTCATGGTCTTTATTGCGTCGACGAAGTTACTCATTTCCTGAGGAAAAACAGCAAAACCAAAACAATACAATTACCATTACTAACCTGTGATTATTGCAGACACAACGACGATTCTTCTGAGACGTGACGTATGTGCTTACCTTGCGGACAGCATCTTGATCTGACTTGAAATCTACAATTTCCTGAAAGAGTAGAAGCAAGGAAAAATCGCGAATAGTTACAGGTTAATCATTAAGAAAGAAACTTCATGAAAGAGCTCAAGACGCGACCAATACGCACTTATGAGAAAGAGTGGGAACTCTTGAAAACTGACCTTGGATTGCCTGATACGGATCTGCTCCAGGTTCAGGATTTTATCTTCTTTCGCTTTATTATCCGCTTCAAGTGACTGAATAATCTGATCCGGATGCCTTTCTCGCTTCGGCTCCGGAGTCTTCGAAGCCGGCGCGCCGAACATCCAGCCCGACATCTTGACGAGGTTCTATTTTAGTAACGGGTCCCTCAAGATATCAAGAAGCATAAACTTCTAAAGCGTATCCTGTGTCTGCATGCTCAAAATAGCTTCGCAGTCCAACGTGTAGACAATCCGAGTCAGGCTATGGCTGCTCCGATGCGTCGTACCTGGTACTAATTGAAGAAAACCTTGAGTAGTCCGTACGAAACTAGGGATAGGAGAGTCTAGGCGACGACGAAACTAGAAGTTAAACAGTATATTTTAATTTGGAACGTAGACGACGATACCTGAATGCAGAGCTTTGTTTCCAGAACTCTTCAGTCCAGCCTAAATGTGTTCCCTAGGCTGAATGAAATCTCCAGCCAGAAAACTGTTCAGGCTGATGAATGAAGCTCCAGCTTGGGTTGTTCTGGAGTTCGTTGGTTTGCTTTGTTGAACGTATGGTGCCGATTTGCACTGAAAATGTCAAGCTCTGCACATCTGACGGCTCATGACGAGCCGCCATCCATGAATAAGTTTTGAATCCCCGCGGGAATGCCGAGTCCGGGGAATGGCAGGCCACGGTCTGAAGAACTCTGACAGCAGGATCTTGGCGGGAAAGAGGGGGAGCCGATCCCTGGAGCTTTTTGAATTATCCTGAATTAGCAACACCTTGGAACACCTAACGCAAAAAAGAAGGTTCTGTTATGATAAAAATGCATTGGATGAAAGCCAGGACTATTGCAACACTATGTTCCTCGGCTGTTATTTAGGTGCTCATGTGAGTGCCAGAATACGTAGACCCATCACACATGAAATATATTATGTAGCTCACAGAAATTCTCACTCACCACGAGACAACATGAACGCACATGCACATAGACACGCTAGTATCATCTCATGCTTATTCCTGTGAAAGAAACGCTCGACAGCCGTTGAGGGTACACCTGAGGATTCTACATTAAACCTAGCGTGTACCATTGTTTCGCTTAAGAATGTGCTATGGACTGAACACACAGCAACTACGAACTTGGCCAAACTGCTCTCTTTCAGCCAGTAATGTCACCATGGCTTGTGCTGCTGCATGCCCACGATTGTGCACCGAAGAATTATGACTACCGTTTTAACAGCCTTCCCACTCCTCTAACTAGACTGCTCTTCAGCCAGTAATGTGACTATGGCTTGTGCTGCTCCATGCCCGCGATTGTGCACAGATGGAATGATGACTTCCGGGTTAACGGCCTTCACACACTCCTGAAGCTCGTAGAAACTGCTGTGCTCACTATAGGGTACTTCATACCTGCCCACAAAGGAAGGGTGTACATTACAGATGCAGTACAGAGTCGCAGAGTCGCGACCATGGGCATATCAGTCCTACATAAACTTACACATCAAACATGGCAATCGAAAGAATCATTAAAGTCTTACCTCACGATGGTGCCTCGCTGCGTTCGCCTGATGGGCCGAGCCTTCTTGCACTTGTCAAACGCCCACCCGGATGGTGAGAAGGCGATTATGGTGGAATAACGTTGCTGGGCAGCAAAAAAAAAAAAAAAAAGGTGATCATGGTGAGATACAGATGTAATTTAAAGCGCTGCAACAGCACCCTTTTCTTTAAACATGTGCAAAAATGTAACTTACCCTATAAACAGGGTGTAACATTTCGAACTTACCCTGTGGAACTTGGCAATGTGCTCGATCCTCTTGAAGCTGGAGATTGACCAGAGCGGCACGGCGTGCAGGTTCGTGGAAGCTTCCTCGCCATCCCCAGCCACCCACGCCATATCATCATGTGAGAGCCCTAGACACGCCAGCAGGCGCCTCTTCACCGCCCCCACATACACCTTCCGCTTTAAAGCCTTAGCTGCTTCCAGGAACACCTTCTCCTTGCCTGGGAAGTGAGGTGGGGTGGGAGGCATGCATGTACGCCCATGTCATCATCATGTGAGAGCCCTAGGCATGCCAGCAGGCGTCTCTTCACCGCCCCCACAGACACCCTTTTCTTGAGCTCCTTAACTGCTTTGACAACGAACACCTTCTCCTTGCCTGGGGATGGGAGAGAGAGGTTGTATGCATATACGTACGGCCATGTCATCATGCGAGAGCCCAAGGCACGCCAGCAGGTTTTTGAGAATTCTCAAAAACGGGGGAGAGAGAGGTTGTATGCATATACGTACGGCCATGTCATCATGCGAGAGCCCAAGGCACGCCAGCAGGTTTTTGAGAATTCTCAAAAACGGGGAAGAGAGAGGTTGTATGCATATACGTACGGCCATGTCATCATGCGAGAGCCCAAGGCACGCCAGCAGGTTTTTGAGAATTCTCAAAAACGGGGGAGAGAGAGGTTGTACGCATATACGTACGGCCATGTCATCATCATGCGAGAGCCCAAGGCACGCCAGTAGGTGGCTCTTCACCGCCCAAGGCACATAGACACTCCGCTCAAGCGCCTCAGTGGATGTGGGGGTTGCACACAGGGATGAGTGGAAAGTCGCGATAGCCACCACCTGTGCTATGCCTCCAAGGCTCGGAGAGAGTCCCTCTATGACCACCTCAGGTGTCCCTTCACCGCCCTCACATAGAGAGTCTTCTGACCACCCCCGGCTTATAGAGAGCACACAAGGCAAACTGGCAATGAGCAGCAGGGAACCCATTGATGGTGTGTGTCTCTCGATACGAAGTGCTGTTGTTGAAGGCCTCTTTTTGAGACAGCCCAAACAGCTTGCAGAGTATAAAGAGCGCACAGGGCACAAAAGCAGCACCGAACGACGCACCGATGGTGTAGGTGCTGATGAGAAAGAGCGCACTGCTGTTGAAGGCCTCGTGAGGTACCACAACGGCTTGCAAGAGAGCACAGCAGCAGCAGCAGCAGCAAACTCACCGATGGTGTAGGTGCCGATGAGAAAGAGCGCGCTGGTGTTGAAGGCCTCTGCTTGAATGGCCTCCACCACAAACTGCAGCGCCGCCTCCTGAGGAGGGAACTCGTACTGTATTGTGGGGTGGAGGGGGGTGGAGAAGGGTATGGATGGCAAGGGTTAGATTGGGTCTATCTGCTCGCCTCTTCTTGAATGGCCTCCACCACAAACTGCAGCGCCGCCTCCTGAGGAGGGAACTCGTACTGCATTGTGGGGTGGATGGGGGTGGAGTTGGAAGGGTATGGATCGAAAGGGTTAGATTGGGTCCATCTACTCGTCTCTGCCTGAATGGCCTCCACCACAAACTGCAGCGCCGCCTCCTGAGGAGGGAACTCGTACTGGCGTGGTGGGGTTGAGGGGAGGGGAGTGGAGTGGGGTTGAGGGGGGTTAGATTGGGTCCATCTGCTCGCCTCTGCTTGAATGAACTCGTACTGGCGTGGTGGGGTTGAGGAGAGGGGAAGGGGGAACGGAGGGTTGTTTTTGAGAATTCTCAAGAACACCCTACTGGCATGGGGTTGAGGAGAGGGGGAGGGGGAACGGAGGGGGGTGGGAGTGGGATGGAGGGGACGCGGGTGAAGCCATGGATGAGCGTGTGAATGCGTGTGGCAATGAGGCAGGGCAGAAAGAGCAGCATGGTAGAGAACAGAAGGAACGGGGATGAGTGAGTGTATCCATGCCTTGCTGTGAGAACCACGCAGGGAACATTTTTGAGTCGACTCAAAAGTCAACTCGAAAGAGCAGCATGGTAGAGAACAGAAGGAACGGGGATGAGTGTATCCATGCCTTGCTGTGAGAACCACGCAGGGAGGGAACAGAGGAAACAGTGGATTGCCTTGGGGTGGCACCGTAGCGGTAGGCAATGCTAAGGACGAGCGTGTGAAAGCGTGTGGCAACAACGCAGAGAAGAGCAGCAGTGCAGGGAAAAGAGAAAAGAGAACAGGTTGCATGCACACATAGGGCCACACACTGAATGCTGAGTCACCTTGGGGTGGCAGTAGGTGGTGTCGAGGATGAGTGTGTGAATGCTCGTGGCAGCGAGGCAGGGCAGAGCAGCCATGGAGGGGTGCCATCTGAAGTCGCCCGTATGGAGCACTGCCTGGGATGGGATGGGGATGGGGGGAAGAATGGTGGGAACGTGGCAGAAAGCAAGGCAGCAAGCACGGCAGCGGGGCAGGGCAGGGCAGACATAGAAGGGTGCCATCTGAAGTCGCCCGTGTGGAGCACTGCCTGGGATGTGTGGAGGGAGGAGGGGAGGAGAGGGGGAGAAGGATCGGTGGGCATTTCGCAGGCAGTGAGGCAGGGAAGGGCTGACATGGATGGAATTCAAGGTAGCAACGAGGGATTGCTGCACTGCACACGGGTGAAAAATGAACTGAAAGTCGCCCATGTGCTGAGGAATTCCTCAATGTCGCCTGTGGAAGGAGGAATTCCTCAATCCCTTAGAGCAAGGCAGTCTTATAGTCCTGAGGAATTCAAGGCACCTTGTTAGTCTCTTGCAATATGCACTTCACTCATTCTTCCTCACTCACCTGTCCATTGGGAGGTTCAAACAGAATCATAACTGCCCCCGGGCAGTGGTTAGCATCCATTAGTGTCACACCCACGCCAGCGATCTCTACCCGCTCGCCCATGGGCAGCTCGCAAATTTTCTCTTCGGGCAGCCCGAGACGGAGTTTCACGAGCCGGGCAGTGACTGCGGAGCAATAGACTGTGCCAAAGCGGAATGATTTGGTCAGGCCGTTGTAGTCTGGGGGCAGGGGGGGAACGAAACGAGGGCAGAAGGAAACGACGAGTTGGAAGGAAAAAAAGAAGAGAAAACAAAGGTACATAAAAACACCAGTGAAAGACAAAAGGCCGTGCAAGCAGATTGGCATTGAGTGAACGAGTGAAAAAGCGGCAGGGGGGAAGAGGAGGGAGGAGGAAGGGGGAAAGGGGGAGGGGAAGTTGGAATTGAGAGGAGACGTACGGTCAGCGTGGAAGTGTATGAGGAACCAGTGGTGGCAGGAGGGGAGGAAGGAGGAAGGGGGAAGGGGGGAGGGAGTGGGGAGGGTGGAATGGGAAAGTGAGGAGAGACGTACGGTCAGCGTGGAAGTGAGTGAGGAAGCAGTGGTGGCAGGAGGGGGAGGAAGGAGGAAGGGGGAAGGGGGGAGGGAGTGGGGAGGGTGGAAGGGGAAAGTGAGGAGAGACGTACGGTCAGCATGGAAGTGAGTGAGGAACCAGTGGTGGCAGGAGGGGGAGGAAGGAGGAACGGGGAAGGGGGAAGGGGGAAGGGGAAGGGGAAGGGGAAGTTGGAATTGAGAGGAGACATACGGTCAGCATGGAAGTGAGTGAGGAACCAGTGGTGGCAGGAGGGCAACGTGCGCTTGAATGCGTCCTGTGAGACGTGTGCATCAGACAAACACACATGCGATTTCTGAGACATCTGATAAAAGTGATATTTTGAGACATCTCAAAACATCACTTGCATCACGTCGCTTGAATTGAATGCGTCCTGTCAGATGTGTGCATCAGACACGCAACAAACACACATGCAAGTTCTGAGAATCTCAAGGGCCAGATGCAAAAGCGGTTTCGAAAAGAGATTGCCTTTTAGCCGAGCGATAAACTGACCGGGAAAGACAACAAAAGAAAAGGAACAAAAAGGAGCGATGCAGGCAGGGAGGGGGGGGGAGGTGCATTTGAGTCGACGCAAAAGGGGGAGGTGCATTTGAGTCGACGCAAAAGGGGGAGGTGCAGACACTCAACAGGGGGGGGGGCGGTGCAACTGTGATTCTGAGAATCCAATGGAAAACAAGAGATTAAATGCTTTTCGTTTGACTCAACTTCAAAGTTCAAACAAGCACGAAGTCCAAAATTCTACTCCACTCACCACCAGGAAGTCAGTGCCTGGAATCATCTCCCACGCCTGTGGTAACGACACCCCACCTCTCCCTGAACACTAAGGTACGTGTGTTTTGGATTTGAGTGCACTCATGATTACCACAATACCCTACCGCACTCACCACCAGGAAGTCAGTGCCTGGGATCATCTCCCACGCCTCTGGTAACGACACCCCACCTCGCCCTCTCCCCCCGTGCCAGCCACCACCTCTCCCTTTTGACATCCCTCCTCGTCCCGCGCTCCCACTCCCGCCCCTCCCTGCGAACCTTCCTCCTCCCCACTTCACGCCTCGTCCTGCTCCCTGCTGGTGCCCACGGGAAACCTCAGCCAATGAAGCGGCTGCCCCAGGCGCTTGCTGTTGCTGGGGCCGTTGTTGCTGCTGACGTGGCCTGTGCCTGTTGCCGCCTCCAAAGAAGTCAGTGATTAGTTTTTTTTGGGCGCCAACAGCACCTGATAAACCACCTGAAACATCCCCTGAATTTCCACCTGATTGTCCACCCGCTTGCTGCCTTTCCTCCTCCGTTTCCTCCATGTCCTCCATCTCCTTCTTTCCCCTTCCCTTCTCTCCCTTGCCCTTCCCCTCCCGTTCCTCCTCCTCTCCCTCACACTCCTCCCCCCTCACCCCCACCGTCTCTCTCCTCCTCCATGCCCCCATCGTCATCCCCATGCCACCCGCATCTATCCTCTTCCACAACATCCTAGCCATTGCGGAATTCGCATCCTCTCCCTCCTCTCCCTCCCCTCCCTCTCCTCTCTCTTCGTCCTCCCCTCCCTCCTCTCCCTCCGCTCCCTCCTCCTCGACCCTCTCCCCACTCTCCTCTCGCGTCTCCCCTGTGCCCTTCACTCTGCCACCAACTCTAGTTCTCCACATCTTCGCCTCCTCTTCCCCCCTGTCCCTTCCCCTGGCATCGGTATCGGCTCCCATTTTGCAAGTCTCTGTCTCCTCTTCTTCCCCCCTGTCCCGTCCCCAGGCATCCAGGCATGCGTTGGAGTGCTGCTCGCGTCTGATTGGCTCCAGATGGGACAGGTGGCAGCCGCAGATTGGACAGTCCACGTCAGCCTCTTCCACGCTCCCATACACCTCCTCTTCCTCCCCACCATCCCCTCCACCTTCCTCCCCACCTTCCCCTCCACCTCCCTCCCCACCTTCCTCCTGGCCTTCTTCTTTCCCCTGCTCCTCACTCTCACCATCTGTGTCTGAAACCTCGATCACACCAGCTTCATCCTCCCCCTCCTCTTCCTCCTCATCCTTCTCTTCTCCCACCACCTCCACCACATGCTCTTTTTCCCCCTCTTTCGCCTCCTCTTCCTCCTCCTCTTCCTCATAATCCCTCCTCCCACTCACACCTCTCCCACTCTCCACCCTCACACTCACACCTTTCTCACGCGCCTCCCCTACACTGACCCCCCTCTCCCTCCCCCACTCACTCGCTCGCCCCTCTCTTGCAACATCCCCCCTCCCACCCCCGCACCCTTGCCCCTTTCTTAGACCAACACCTCTTTCCGCTCGATCCGCAGCAACCCCCGTGAGGTAGGAAAGTTCGTGGGATGTTTCAGAAGCTTCCTGTTCCCTTCGTCTACCGCTTCCATTCCCCGGTGCACCGTTCTGCTCCTCGAATTCCTGGGCATCTGAATGCTGATTGTGCCACGTGGCGTCCTCCTGACGCTGAGTCATCATCCCGGATATCTCGTCGTAGTCTTCACAAGAATGTTCCATTCCCAATGCATCGTTATAATCACCAGCTATACAATCACCTCCTTCAGAACGCTCCACCTGATTGGCCCGTTCACCCGCCTGGAACCTCCCAGAAGATCCGATATAAGCAGGCGTGGCGTCACGACAATGACCGCCATTCTTAATGCCATTGTCAGTAATACTGTCATAAGAATTATATATCTTAATGTCATCAGGAAAAATACTGTTAAAAACAGGATGGGTGTCAGAATCACCATCATTCCGTTGAGCGATTTTCACTCTCCTAGCCGATCTCTCGTCTTCACCGGGGTCGCAGGATGCAATCTCTTCTGCCGCTCGTTTCGCACAGCCGTGCGACGTCGCAGAGCGACCTACGCTGTGTCGCTCGTCGCACTGCGATTCGTCGAGGAAGCATTCGCGAAACAATGCGAGCGGCGAGGCGAAAACCTCATTGTGAGTAGCATCACAATGCGACGTGCTAGCGAAACGACCTCTGCAACCTTCGCCATTCCTGGAAGGCGACACAAATGAACGCTTCGATATCGGAAGCTCCGATACACCGTCAGGATGCTCACGGCTCGCTGCCGCGACTGAGTCTATAATTACCGCACCACTCCGCTCAGCAAGATGCAATGCTGCTGAAGTGTCATTCCTAGCAGAAGGACCATCGCTTAATCCATTATTCCAGCGACCACCGCTGAGCGAGGAGAGCTGCACTGATGCTCGTCGCATGGCGTCAGACTGCTTGCCTTGAAAATGACGAGGAGAATGAAAACGTCAGTGTGACGAATGGATAAAAAATCAAATGCGCCTGAAAAAATTAACTTGTCAAAGGTGGCAAGAGCATTTGGCCGAGTGGTTAAGGCGTGTGCCTGCTAAGTACATGGGCTCTGCCCGCGAGAGTTCGAATCTCTCAGTGCTCGAATGAATTTTCGACATTTGGCGTCAAACCCTCGCTGTTGTCACATCCGCTGGGGATTTTTTTTTGTTTGCAGCCCGATCTGTTCAATAGCACCACCACGTGGCATTGTGGAACCCCTTCAACCCACAACCCTCTTTACGACCTCTAGATCTTTCCTCAAAATCGCTCTGAGCAGTTCTTCCTGCCGCAGGCTCTGATTGTTTGTGCCTGGCAAAACGAGCATTAAATTAGCTTTATTCTATTTCGTCACTGATGCGCCCCCGTCCACCAAACTGGTTTCTCGCATAATCCCTCGAAAACGTCTTCTAGAAACCGTATTCGTCCCTAATGTAAACCGTTTACTTTTCTCGTTTTCTTTCCTCGTTTTCATTCCTGGGTATATATATATCGAGAATCATCATGATTGGCCAGAGGACACGTGGCAGTAGCCTAGTGGGCGACCGACATGATGAAGACGAAAACTATGAGGGCGAGGACGAGGAGGAGGACGACGATGAGGGGGAAAAAGATGATGAAGAGGAGGAGGAGGAGGAGGACGAGGACGAGGCGCTTCTTGCGGCCGTTCAGAGCGAATTCGGCGCGCCCTTTTTGCAGAGAGACGTTCTCCCGTTGCAGAGAGACCTCCCGTTAGAGTCACACTCACAGAGACGCGAGATGCGCTTGCTGGAAGGCGGGGTGAGTGGTGATGTAATGGAGGAGGACGAAGATACAGAGGAGGAGGAGGAAAACGAGGAGGAGGAGGGAAGCGAGGAGATGAGTGAGAGGGGAGGGCGGCATGTGGAAAGGGCATGTATGGTAGATGAGGAGGAGGAAGAGGAAGAAGAAGAGGAAGATGAAAGAGAGGAGGATGAAGGAGAGGATAACGAGGAGGATGAGGATGACAGATTGCTCCAATTGGTGCGTCAGATGATGGTCGTGAAGCCTGCCACGTCATCAGAGCCTGCCACGTCAGCACTGCCTGCCACACCAGAAGTGCCTGCCACGTTGACAGTACATGCCACGTCAGCAACGCAGACTGAGGAGGCGGCAAGAGCAGGTGCACGGCGAGCAGCAAGCGTGCATTCGGACCAGGAGTGGGCGGCAGATGAGGTGCGGATGGCAAGCCGGGCGGCAAGTGAGATACGGACGGCAAGTGAGATACGGGCGGCAAGTGAGATACGGGCGCCAAGTGAGATACAGGCGCCAAGTGAGGTGCAAGCGTTGTCATTTGCGCCAATAGCAGGAACGCACATGCATGAGGCGGCAAGAGAGGAGAGTGTGAAGGGAACGCAGTCGAGAGGTGGGAGGGGAGGGAGAGCGCGAGGTAAGGGGGTGACGCAGAGGGTTTTGGGGGAAGGACGAGAGGGGGGTGGAGGTGGAGGGAGGAGAGGGGCGGGGAGCGGCGTGGGTAGGGGCAGCAGCCGGGGCGGAAGGGCAGAGAGAGGGAGGGGGCGAGGGGTGGAGAGAGGGAGGGGGAAAGCAGCAGAGGGCGGAAGAGGGCGAGGGAGGGGGCGGGGGAGAGGAGTTGTGGGCGGTGGGGTGGGTCTTGTGAAGGAAAGAGGCAAGGGAACGGCTGTGAAAGGAGTTAGTGGTGTGAGGGGATGGTATGAGGCGGAAGCAGCGGAAGCGGAAGAGGAGGCATTAGAAACAGAGGCCGAGGAGGAGGAAGAGGAGTACTCAGAGGAAGAAGAGGAGGAAGAGGAGGAAGTTCGGGAGGAGGAGAGAGGGGAGGAGATAGAGGAGGACGAGGCATTGTTGGAGTTTGCTCGGCAGATCTGCAGCCTGTCCGTGCAGCAGGTGGGTGGGTCTGCCAAGAGGGGAGCAGGTTACCCTTTCACTGCGCCATCGCCATCCCAAGCAGCCTCTGGGCGGCAGGGTGAGGGGCAGCGGCAGATCTGCACCCTGTCCGTGCAGCAGGGGGGGTCGACCAGGAGCTACCCGCAGGTGCAGCAGCAGGTGGGTGGGTCTGCCAAGAGTTCTCCTTTTATGGCGACCCACGCTGATGGGGATCGGGAGACTAGTGGGAGGGGGGTGGGAGCAGCCGGGGGTGGGGGGGAGAAGAGGGGGAGGGGAGGGAGGACAGGTGGAGGTGTGGGGAAGAAGGCGAGGGGAGGGAGAGAGGGTGAGGGCGATGATTGGCTGTTGGAGGAGATTGAAGGGCTGCTGGGAGGGCGAGAGGGGGGGGGAACGCGGGCGAGAGAGAAGGAGGGAACAGGGGGAGAAAGGGGAGAGAAAGGGGCAAGAAAGGCAGGGGTGCGAGGGATAGAGGGCGGAGAAGTAGCAGGAGGAGAAAGGAAGGGGGATAAGGGGCGGAGGGAGGTTAGTGAGCTAAGCGAGGAGATTGAGGGGAGGGGAGTGAAAGGAGGAAGAGGTGGTGGAAGGGGTAGCAGGGGGAGGGGAAGAGGGCGGAGTGGGGGGGAGGCAGGAGTTGGGGCAGAGGTGGAGGGTGGGGGAGAGATGGGGGCTCAACAATCAAGAGGAGGGAGGGGCAGAGGTAGAGGAAGGGGGAGGGCGACAACTTTTGGTGGTGAGGGAGAGGGAGGAGAGAGAGGGGAGGGTGGCAGAGAGGAGGGGCAAGAGGGCGGAAGGGGTAGGGGACGGGGGCGGGGAAGAGGGGGGAGAGGAACTGAGGGGAAGGGAGGGGGGATGGAAGGGGCAAGGGGTAGGGGCAGGGGGAAGGGAGGGGGTGGGGAAGGCTTGGAGGGGGGTAAAGGAGGTAGAGGGGTTGTGGGTGTAGGGAAAAAAGGGGCGAATATGGGTGAAGGGAAAAAAGGGGAGAATATGGGTGTAGGGAAAAAAGGGGAGAATATGGGTGTAGGGAAAAAAGGGGAGAATATGGGTGTAGGCCGCCAGCGTCTGACTGCTGCTGCTGCTGCTGCGGAAGGAAGGGAAAGACGGGAAGGAGGGGAAAGGGGGGAAGGAGGGGAGGGGGGAGAAGGGGAAGAAGGGGGAGAAGGAGGGAGAGGAGGGGAAGGAGGGAGAGGAGGGGAAGGAGGGGAAGGAGAATTGGAAGCAGTGGTGGTGGGAGGGTTTCAGTTGCCCCAGGCAGTGGTTACGGCTGGTTATGGTGATGGTGGTGGTGGTGATGAGTGGATGGGGGGTTGGGGTGAGGATGAAGAGGGAAGAGAGTGGGGAGGAATCGTGGCTATGAGTGATGCTGATGTGGCATTGCCGCATGCTGATATGTCATTGCCTCGTGCTGACGTGGCACAGCTGCGAGAGCTGCAGAAGCTTGCAGAGGCTCGGAGGCAGCTGGAACGGCAGCTGGGAGTTATTGGAAGCTTCCTCCCACCTTCCTCCAGAAAGGTGGCATCAGCAATTGCGCCTCCTCCTGCTGCTGCTGAGTTGAGTCTAGTTCCTATTGCTTCCACCCATGCATCTGCCTCTGCCTCTGTCTCTGCCTCTGCTGCTGAGTGGAGTCTAGTTCCCTTTGCTCCCACCCTTGCGCTTCCTGCTCCTGCTGCTGAGTCCATCCAAGAGCCTTTCGCTTCTGCCTTAGCCTCCCCTGCTGCTGCTGCTGCTGCTGCTGCTGCTGCTCCTCCCGCTGCTGTTGCTCCTCCCGCTGCTGTTGCTCCTTTGGCTGCTGCTATTGGAGATGAGGCTGATGCTGCTACCGGTGATGGTGCAGCAGCACAAGCATGTATGGCGGTTGGGGGGGAGAAGCAATTGCAAGGAGCGGCAGATGGTACAGGGGCAGTAGTGGGGGCAGAGGTGGGGGTAGAGGAGGGGGCAGAGGAGACAGCAGAGGAGGAGGCAGGGGAGAGAGAAGCATTGACAGCTCCACCTGAACTAGCTTTAGTAATCTCGGGAGAAACGTTGGTGGTAACCGCAGCAGAAGATTCGATGGTAACCCCAGTGGTAGCAGGGGCGACAGCACTGGAAGCACCGCCACCAGCAGCGCCAGAGGGAGCACTGCCTGAACAAGCTATGGTAACATCAGGAGAAGCGATGGTGGTAACCGCAGCTGAAGGGTCTGTGATAACTCCTGGAAAAGTTTCGGTAACGGCAGGGATGACAGCACCAGTGGAAGTGCAGTTACCAGCAGCGCCAGAGGGAGCACTGCCTGAGCAAGCTATGGTAGTATCAGGAGAAGCGCTCGTGGTAACCCGTGCTGCAGACGATACGGTGATAACCCCAGTAGCAGGAACAGCAGCACCAGTGGAAGCACAGCCACGAGCAGTGCCAATGGGAGTAGCGCCTGAACAGCTGCCTGAACAAGCTATGGTAATATCAGGAGAAGCGCTGGTGGTAACCGCTGCAGACGATTCGGTGGTGACACCAGTGGTAGCAGGGGCGACAGCACTAGTGGAAGTGCCGGCAACGGCAGTGCCGGTGGGAGCACCACCTGAGCAAGCTCGTGCTCGTGCCAGCGATAGTGCTATGGTACTATCAGGAGAAGCGCTCGTGGTAACCGCAGTAGCAGGGACAACAGCGCCGGTGGAAGTGCAGTTACCAGCAGCGCCAGTGGGAGTAGCGCCTGAGCAAGCTATAATACTAGCAGGAGAAGCGCTCGTGGTAACCGCAGGTGAAGGGTCAGTGGTGGTTCCAGCAGAAGAGTTGGTGGTAACCCCAGGAGAAGTGATGGTGGTAACTCCAGCACAGGAAGGAGGCGCAGCGGCAGCAGCAGGAGCAGGGGATGCTGTATCAGTGCGGGGGGCGTTAGTGGCAACCCCAGGTGAAGGATTGATGGTAACCCCAGCAGCACTAGGGGCAGCAGTTGCAGAAGTGGGTGGGGAAGCCGCATCAGGGGCGATAGTGCCAGTCCCAGCTGATGGGGTGGTGGTAACCCTAGTTGAAGGCTCAGTGGTAGTTCCAGAAGAAGACGTGGTGGTAACCCCAGGAGAAGGGGGAGCAGCTGCAGAAGTAGGTGGGGAAGCCGCATCAGAGGGGATACCACTGCTGCTGTGTGCACCACCTGGAGGAGAAGTTCCCAGTCAGGTGGATGGTCAGGAGGCACCAGATGTTCAGGAGAAAGGCCAGGAGAAAACAACAGAAGCTGGCCTGGGTGAACAGAGTGATGGTGCAGCTGGAGGTTATGGGACAGGTGGTTCTCATAGTTCCGAGCCTACTTCCGAACCTCCTGCGGTCGCCGAACCTGCTACTGGTGATGAAGCTCTGGCTGCGGCCACCGAACCTGCTGGCTTTCGTGCTGCAACTGCTTCAGAACCTCCTGCCGATCCTTCCTTTCTCTCCTCTGCTGACGTGGCAGCAGTTAGAATCGCTCTGCAGGCCAACCGTCGGTGCCAGCTGGCTCTTCACGATTTGCTAGCGGCCGTGGAGGCTCGGGAGGGACAGGCTCGGGAGCTGCTTCGGCGCGTCAGAACCGTGGCTGGGTTCGAGACTCGGGCGAGGAAAGCTGCTAGAAGAGTGATCGGAGGCTTGGGGGGAGGGGCAGGGTGGGGGATAAGAGACGAAGCAGGAGCAGGAGAAGGAGCAGCAGCAGCAGGAGCAGCAGCAGTAGGAGCAGCAGGAGGGGGAGCAGGAGGAGCAGGAGGAGGAGGAGCAGGAGTATGGGGTACGGCAGGGGGAGGGGGAGGCGAGGGGGGGGGTCGCATCTACGGGGGGCATGCAGCCGAGATGCTTCTGGTGAACTGGGCCAAGCCGAGACAGAAGCGCGGGAGAAAACACAAGTACTCTTCTCTTGGATTCGACCCGGATCCCCATGATCGCAGCAACCTGGAAGCTTCCTCAAGGGATATGCCTGTGAATGAGGACCAAGGGGTGTTTGAGCGGTTGAGAGGGGTGATGCCGCTGGTGTTTCGCGGGAGGAAGTGGGGGAAGGGCGAGGTGGGTGCGTTGAGGGAGGGGGTGGAGCAGCAGGTGGTGCAGGGGATGATTGAGGAGGCCGTGAAAGAACGACCGGAAATTACCCTGGATAGGTGAGTGAGTGTCTGAGTGTGGGAGCGTGTGAATGAGGATGGGGCGTTGCGGGAGGGGGTGGAGCAGCAGGTGGTGCAGGGGATGATTGAAGAGGCGGTGAGGGAACGACCGGAGATCACTCTGGATAGGTGAGCGGGTGAATGTTGCGGTGCATGTGTGAATGACAAGGCGTGTGAGCATGTGAGTGAGGAGGCGGTGAGGGAACGACCGGAGATCACTCTGGATAGGTGAGTGGATGAATGCACGTGCATGTGAGGGGTTGGGAGAGGGAGGTTCCGAGTAAGTGAGAGTACCAGTCAATGGGAGGGGGTGGAGCAGCAGGTGGTGCAGGGGTTGATTGAAGAGGCCGTGAAAGAACGTCCAGAGATCACTCTGGATAGGTGAGTGGGCGTGTGTGTGAGTGAGCGTGTGAGTGAGGGTGTGACTTAGGTAGAGAGGCGGTGAGTGAGGGGCAATCACCAACCCCAGGTGGCGCCATCCAGCTCACCGCAGCAGGAATCTTCTGAGTCGACTCAAACGTCATCCAGCGCACTGTAGCAGGAATCGAACCCTGCCCTCTCACACCAACACCGACACCCACTCCTCAATGCATCGTCCAGTGCATGCTACCCACACCCACACCAACACCCAACTCCCAATTGATCGCCTTTTCCCATTTTGCCCCCCCTGATTCCAGGTCCTTCCTCCAGTGTCACCGTAGGGGGGTCAAATCTCGCCAGCTCACACCGTGTGCTGCCCTCTCCTCACTCCCCTTTATTCTTCCACTCCCCAATACTCTTTCCTGCCAGGTCTCTACTCCAGCGAACCATAGCAGAGATCAAATCGCGCCAGCTCGCACCAGAGGCCATGCATGCTGCCGTGGCACGAGTTGATTGGTCGACAGTAGCAGCTGCGTTTGTGAATCCGGCCAATAGGAGCCTTGGAAGGGGGGTGCACCTCAGGCGTACTGCACTCGAGTGCAAATTGAGGTAACGAGGGGGGCTGAGTGCGGTGAATTGCGGTTGGTTAGGTTAAGTTGGAATCCGGTGAGGGGGTTTGGTCTAAGGAAGTGGTAGGTTTAGATTGAAGCTGAGGTAATTGAAGGGTGTTGAGTGCGGTGAAGAACAGTCAGGTGAATTCAGTACAGCACCAGGACATCGATGAAGAATACGCCAAGGAGGTGCCGGAGGGTAGCGGTTTGTGTGGGTGGAAGGGTGAACGGAGTGGTTTAGTGCGGTTCAAACCGGTTTGAGTGTTTCCCTTGCGTTTCAGGTGGTTGAACGTGGACGACTCCAGCATAACGTGGGGAGAGTGGAACAAGAGGGAAGAGACTACGCCGGTTGGGGAATGAATCATGAAAGGAGTGGTTCAGTGCGGCTCATACCCATTTGAGTCGTTCTGTTGCGTTTCAGGTGGTTGAATGTGGACGACCCGAGCATAACGTGGGGCGAGTGGAGCGAGAGGGAGGAGGAGATTCTGAAGGAGGTGGCGGAGAGCAGAGGGCTGTGTGGGTGGGAGGGGATTGCAGAGGAGGTAAACCGGAGAGTGAGGGAGGAGGAGGAGGGAGAGGACGTGGAGTGGGAGGAGGGAGGAGAGGGTGTGGGAAGGGAGAATGATGGGGAGAGAAGGGCGGGTGGACAAGGGGTAGGAAGGCAGAGAGGAGGGGGAGGAGGAGGGAGAGGAGTAGGGGAAGGGAAGGGGAGTGAGAAGGGGGGGAAGAGGAGGAGGAGGACTGCGCTACAGTGTCTGATGGGGTACCAGAAGTGGTGGAACCCCCACGTGGCGCGACGCCATTGGTCGGCAGAAGAGGACAGACAGCTGGCGGCGGCAGTGAGGCGGCACGGCGAGGTGAACTGGGCGGCAGTGGCGCTGGCGGTGGAGGGGCGGAGCGGCAGAGAGTGCTTGCAGCGGTGAGTGCTTTCTGACCTGACTGGTATGATATTAGAGCAGGCTCATAGGGGCACGGGGAGGTGAACTGGGCGGCAGTGGCGCTGGGGGTGGAAGGGCGGAGCGGCAGAGAGTGCTTGCAGCGGTGAGTGATTGTAAGGAGGTGAGTGGTTGTAACACGAGTCCCTTTCCCACGTCCACATCCCTTATTTGATGTGACTCCGCACCTTGCCTCCTTCCTCTGGTATCATTATCCTTATCCTCTTTTTCCAGCTGGCAGCATCATCTGCGCCACGTCAGCAGAGCAGCGTGGACCCCCGAGGAGAACGACAGGCTGCGATTGGCTGTGGGAGTCTTCGGCACGCCCCATTGGAGGAGAATCGCAGCCCTGGTGCCGAACCGCACCGAGGTGCAGGTTCGGGAGCGCTGGTGCAACGTGCTCGACCCGAACCTGAGGTTCGGGCCGTGGTCTGGCGAGGAGGTTCGGCGGCTGGAGGAGGCTGTGGGGAGGTTCGGCGTGGGGAATTGGACGAATGTGGCTGTTGCTTGCTGGCCCAGAACGGACTGCCAGTGCAAGAGGTAAGAAACAAAAGTGGTTCTTTTTATACTGAGGCATCTTGAAAAGGGTACAGACTGGAGCACCTGACAGTGTGGCTGTTGCTTGCTGGCCTAGAACGGACTGCCAGTGCAAGAGGTAGGGAAACTAACTTGAGATCAAAGAAGTGCAATGTGATAATCTGCTGTCTGCTGTTCTTTTTTTGGTTTTTTCCAATTCATAGGCTGCGTCTATAAAAAGTCGAATCAGAAGACCGTGCGAGGTGCATTTTGTTTACATCTACTTTCCCACGATCACTGTTTTCCTGCATTCGTGGCATTTGTGGAATTGCTGACTTGATGCTGCTACGCTGCAACTAGGTGACTTTTGAGTCGACTCAAAAGTCACCTCTTTCCCACGATCACAGTTCTCCCGTGGCGTTTGTGGTATTTGTGGCATTTGTGGGATTTCTGACTTGATGCATGCTGCAACGCTGCAGGCAGTGGCTCAAGATGCATCGAAAAGGAGAGAGGCAGAAGAGACGGAGGCTAGGAGATGCAGCAGAGGAGGCAGATGGATCGCTGCATGGTGTGGCGGCAACAGGGGGAGCCACACCAGCAAGTGCAGTCACACCAACAAGTGCAGTCACACCAGCACATGCAGCAACGGCACCGCCACATTTAGTCCCCACGCAACCACCAAATGCAGCAGAGGAGGCAGATGGAGCGCTGAGTGGTGTGGCGGCAGCAGGGGGGGTCACGCCTGCACATGCAATAGCATCTCCTCATGCAGTCACAGCATCAATTGCAGGAACGGCACCACCGGATATAGTCACACCACCACCGCATATAGTCACACCACCAGCGATTATATTCACACCACCATCAAATATAAATGCAGGAGCAAGTGGTAGTATTGGTGGTGCTTCTGCTTCTGTTACTGCTGGTGGCAGTGCAGGTGCAGAAGGAATTGACGGATTGCTGTTACCAGCACCAACGCAGGTCGCAGCAACCGTGTCAGGAGCACCAACAGCACCAATAGCACCACCACCAGTACCCACAGCACTACAGTCAGCACCCACAACGCCACTTTCAGCACCAGTAGCAAGAACAGCGCCGCCGATTGCATCGGGTGCTTCTCCTGCAGCTTCTGCTGCCCCCGCTCCTGCCAGTTTACCTGCTTCTCCTACGAACCCTGCCCCTGCTCCTGCTGCTCCGTCCCTCTCTGCTACTCTTACTAATCCCCTCTCTGCTCCTTACTCCCCTGCTCGCTCTGACCCTCCCCCTGCTCCTGCCCCCTTTGCTTCTGCTGCTCCTCCTGCTCCCCCTGCTCCCCCTGCTCCCCTTGCTCCCCTTGCTCCTGCTCCCCATGCTACTGCTCCCCCTGCTCCTGGCCCCCCTGCTCCAACCCCCTCTGCTACTGCTGCGTCTCTCCCGTCCCCCTCTTCCCCACCTCCCCCTCCTCCCCCTCCTCTCCCTCCTCCCCCTCGACGTCGATTCCTGAGAGCACCGGGGGATTCCAGGGGGAGGGGGAAGAAGAGTAAAGGGGGAAAGGCGGAAGGGGGGAAGGCCAAGAGGAACAAAGCCGGGGCAGAGGGGGGAAATGGGGAGGATATGGTGGAGAAGGGGAAGGGGGAAGGTTCTGAAAAGGCAGGGGATGGGAGTAAGGGAGTAGGAGGAGAAGAGGGAGAAGGAGAAGGAGGAGAAGGAGGAGTAGGAGGAGAGGGAGAAGGAGAAGTAGGAGAAGGAGGAGGAGGAGGAGAAGAAGCAGGGATGCTCCCAAGGTCTCCCTCTTCTGCTCCTCCTGCTACTGTTCCTGCTGCAGCACCTGCTGCTACCCCCTCGTCCCTCCACCCCCCTTCATCCCGTCCTCTTCTCTTCACCCCCTCTCTCCCTCCTCCTTTTCCCCCGCCACCGTTCCTCTTCCCCCCTTCTTTTCCACACCAACCGCACTTCATACGACCTCCCTTGCTACACCCCTCCGTGTTACATCCCTCGCTGTTACATCCGCCACAACGGTTACCACCTCCCTTTCTTCCCATTGGCTGGAGCATCGTAGACCGGCCCTGGACCGATCAGGTTCGGGCAGCAGCACGCAGGAGGCTCGTGCGCCGGACCAAACAGGCTCGGACCGAGGCTCAAGCTCGGAATCTTCAGCAGATGGTGCGGTTGCATTGGATTCGTGGGGGAGGGTTACCAGTTGGGTATGGAGGAGAGGCTGGGGGAGAAGGAGGGAGCGAGGGAGGAATGGGAGGGAGAGGAGGACTGGGAGTTGGGGAAGGTGTGAGGGAGGGAGGTGTGAGGGAGGGAGGAGATGTGAGGGAGGGAGAAGGTGAGAGGGAGGGAGAAGGTGTGATGGAGAATGAAGGTGTGAATGGGGAAGAGGGCGTGAGAGGTGAGGAAGAGGATGTCAGCAGGAGAGAAGGAGTGAAAAGGGGAGAAGGCGTGAAAGGGGGGAAAAGAAAGGGAGGCAGGAAAGCGAGAAGGGGAGGAGTGGGAAGAGAAATTGACAGGGAAGGGCAAGAGTCACCCGTGAGAAGCCTTAAACGGGGAAGAAAGAAGCGAGGAGAAGATGTGGAGGGGCAAGAGACTCTTTCAAGACCTGCCAAAAGGGGAAGAAAGAGAAGCATTCGTGGTGTGGTAGGGCAAGAGGAGGGATCAGTGACAGGTGATGTGGAGGAGGAGGGAATAAATGTGTCACAGAGGCTATTGAATCGGGTGGAAGAAGGAGAGGAGCAAGAGGAGAGAGGGAGACAGGAAGGAGGGGAGGAGCAAGAGGAGAGAGGAGAGGATGAAGAGGGCAGGAGTGGGCTGGGAGATCTGAATGGGGGATTCAGGGGTGGAGGAGGAGGAGGAGGAGGAGGAGGAGGAGGAGGAGGAGGAGGAGGAGGAGGAGGAGGAGGAGGAGGAGGAGGAGGAGGAGGAGGAGGAGGAGGAGGAGGAGGAGGAGGAGGAGGAGCTGAGCGAAGGCAGGAGGGAGAAGAGCAAGGGGGGCAGGGAATTGAAGTGAGAGTGGAGGAGGTTGGTGGAAGAGGAGGAGGCCGGGCAGATAAGAACTTTCGTGGGGAGATACTGGTCCAAGGCTCCGAACGGCACGGCCTTCATCCTGGTTATGAGTCGTCTCAAATCTCTGACCTAGAGGCTAGGGTTCAAACCGGGTCAGAGGCTGGGAACGGGGAGCTTCAAAGCTCGAACCCAGAGGCAAGGGTTGAAATCGGGTCAGGGGGGAGGAACGGGACGTTTCAAAGCTCTGCCCTGGAGGCTGTTTCTTGTGTGGGTAGAGATCGAAGGGGGGATGAGAATGGTCCAGGTGCTGGGAATGGGAATGGGAATGGGAATGGGAATGGGAATGGGAATGGGAATGGGCCAGAGGCTAGGGTTGAGAACGGGTCAGAGGCAAGGAATGGGACGTTTCAAAGCTCCAGTCCGGGGGCGGTTTCTTGTGTGGCTGGAGATGGAAGGGGGGATGAGAATGGGCCGGAGATTAGGAACGGAAATAGACCAGAGGTTAGAATTGGGACTGGGCCAGAGGCTAGGAATGCAATGTTACATGGAGCTCAGGCCTGGGTGAGGAAGGCTCGGAGCAGTAAACCGGTGCGCCGATCTAGATTCAGTAGAGGAGGCTTGGGAGTGGCTGGGGGCAGGAGAGGTTCGCATGCAAATGGTTTGGATGGCTCTGATATAGGCAACAGTGCGGTTGGGTGCGGTGCAGATGGTGTTAGCAACGGTTATGCTGGTGCTGGTGCTGTTGCTGAATCTTCTGCAGTGGCTAATGCATCACTTGTATCGGAATGGCTGAGAAAGAGGCGGGCAGACCAGGAAGAAAATATCTCCATGGGGTCGAGAAAGAGACGGGCAGCTCGAGATGAGAATGTTTTGAAACACCAGGAGAAGACAAGAGGGGCAGCAGAACGGGCACCTGAAGAGAATGGAGGGTTGGGGAGGAGGCTGGGTGAGTCTGAGATAGGTGGAAAGAGTGGGAGAGGGAGGGGGAAGGGGAGGGGGAGAGGGGGGAGGAGGGGAGGGATGATGGGAGAGAGTGAGGGGGTTTGCATGGAGGGTGGTGCTGGGGAAGGGGGAACGGCAGGAGGAGAGGAAATGAGAGGAGCAGAGGAGCTTGGGGAGGGAAAGAGGGGAAGGGGGGGGAAGGGAAGAGGTGGAAAGGCAGGAGGGAAGGAGGGGAATGCAGGGGGGAGAAGAGGGTTGGGAAGGGGAAGCGAGGGGAGAGGGAGGGGTGGAGGGAGAGGGAAGGGGAGGCAACCGGTTGGGGTTTCTGGTGGTGGGGTGGGTGGAAAAGATGGGTAGTATGGTGTAAGGAAATACAGTAGTTGGACTGTAGCATGAGGTTGCTGTAAGATATTACTGTTGATAGTTGAATACAGCCCGGGCACCAACTTCTTGTGGCAGGTGTTACAGTACCAGGAATCCCGTGGATGAGAAGGTACCGTAGCTTCTGTAAATACAGGTACCTACTGCACCGCACTATTTCAGATGTACGATAAGATGTGACCTGTCGTAGGCTGGTCGATGGGACAGCTTGTCACCAAATGCTCTCAGTCAAAATAACATGACTGTGGTGTGGTAATCGTAGTTTGTGAAAACCAGTTTTCTGCAGGTATCGGCATTCCTTGCTTCTCGAGAGTGAATGGTAGTGGCTGTGGTGTGGAGTGGAAATTTCAACATGGACCATGGCTCATCGTATGAAATGCCTCATTGCAGTAATGTGGCAACTGGAAGCAGGAACCAGTATGGGATGACGGAGGTTACCGTACAACGAGCTGCTGCCTTTGAAATCGTTACAACCCACCACAAACAAACCATGATAAGTAGATAACATCTCCATAGTAGGAATAACAGGAGCATGGGATCCTTGTGCACGCCTGCCAGGACCCAGACAGTAATTATTCGTCCACACAAGATTGCTAGGATGAAGAAGCTGAACAAGTTGATAGATACGGTATGCAGAACCTGCCAGCCATATGACCCGCCGCATGCTTCTTATTTTTGTTCTCACAAAGAAGCTGAAGACAGAGTCGAGGGTGAAGAAGCTTATAGCCACCATGCAGAACCTGTATGTTTTACACAAAGCAGCTACTTCCAGATGCCACAGCGTGAATACAAGCATCCGGACCTGCACGTGTTATAAGCAGTCAGGTACTTCCCTCCGTTTCTTAATATAGTCGTTGCAGTCTGCATGCACGCCTGGTTGCACGCAGATCGGTACCTATCAGGGCAATTGAACGAAACACTCCCAGGAAGCTCGGGAAACGGGCAAACTGCCCCGCACGTGGTATCCAGGTTGTTGATCCCGAGAGTTGAATCAGGAGCCATTCCTGCTCGGTTAAGGCACGCGCGATTGCAAATTATGGAGCGGGTGCAGGCTCCTCGGGACAAGATCCTGACGTTGTTGCACACCGCCTGGCAGTAGGAGGAATAAGTGACATAGTCGGAGCCACAGACGGGTGGGGCGTAAGGACTGCATCCGCAGTCGATGAGACTGGCGTTTGCGTTCAGCCCCGGAGATAAGGACCCATCGCCGTTAGACTGCGCTCGCGCTACGTTAAAGTAAGTGCTCGCTGCGAATAGCAGCAACACAAGAACAAGGGGAGACGCTTTTCCGGAAGACATGGTCTCGGAGGTCAGCTCTTGTCGTTCAACTCTCACAAGTTGGGTAATGTTGGATCATGATCGTATTAGGAAGGAATCTGAAGCTTTCATAGTGTCTCTTCTCCTAGCGCCACTCGAATGGTGACGGCCGACATGGTCGAGTTGCTGTTGAAAAGCACCGGAGCGCGAGAGAAAGCTGGGTGCGGCGTGGGTTACAACTGCAGATTTCGAATCCTGGCAGAAGATGGCGGTTTGCACAAGGGGAGGCGATATTTGAGAAGAAAGGGATGCTAGGGACCACGGCCTGAATTCGCAGGCGCTGCTGTTCTCTTCTCGTTATACCGATTGGTCTTCCCACAGAATTGCAGTTATTCGGCGCGTTAGTGCATAAATCAGGTGTAGTGTGATGCGGTTTTGATTTTTTGCGCGTGTCCCGGCTCGGCCAATTTCAAAACTGGCGACCATTGCGAGTAGGTAAATTGAATATGTTTTAACGTGAAAACATATGTAGACCCCCTAGCAACATGCTTCGAAAATTAGGTCAAATCGTAACAAAACATACAGTATCACGAAAATTCAATTTCACATTGACTGGCTACATCCCAAGTGGCATGTAAAAACACATGAGATCGCTGCTAGTCCTTTTCTGTAAAAATGCCCACACGATGTATCTAAGAAGGCACTGCAAAACGGCAGAGAAGGACAGACTTAGTATCTTTCACCTTCGCAAAGCAATATAAATTTAAATACCAGCCTGGCACAAGGGGAACTTACTGTACGTAGATGTGTCAATCTGCTCTGGCAAGGCCTTGATGTCAACTTCAAACCGTGACTGAACCTGCAAATACAGTGCCAACCAGTAGAGTTAGCATTGTCACGTAGCAACCAAGCAACATAGCACAAAAATTGATGCCATCAAGAACTGCAAACACAAACCTGATCCAGCTTCTTCGAATCCTCCTCCGAGCTCACAAAAGTGATAGCTAGACCCTTTGTACCAAAACGACCAGCACGGCCAACCTGAAACAATGCAGGTCCCAGACACATCAAGAAACACATCCAACTGCTTTCATGCATACTGCAACATCCATTCTAGGTTTCAACATACCCGATGAAGATAAGTGTCTGCATTTTCAGGCATGTCATAGTTGATGACGATATTGACTCGCTCAATGTCAATGCCACGACCCACAAGATCTGTTGCCACCAGAATGCGCTTGTGTCCCTCCTTGAATGCCTTGTAGCGGGTCAGCCTGCAAAACAAACCAACTGACTAAGCAACAAGCTGCAGAAAGACAATTGCAATAGACTTAACCAACAAGCTTACCTCTCCTCCTGTGTCATCTGAGAATGAATGCTAATAGCGGGGAAATTGCATTCCACCAAGAGCTTGTTCAGCTGAGCAGCGCGGTTCACTGATTTGACAAAGATGACGACTTGATTGAAGTCAAGAGCATCAAGAAGGTCGTTCAGCTTTCTGTTCTTCTCGTTCTCCTTCAATTGAATATAGTGCTGCAGGGTGTAAAATGAACAGGCCGTAAGTAAAAGAGACGCATCCAAATATGAGAAGCGGAGGAAGGAAACGGCTGTACCAACCTGAACAAGTCCATGAAGTGTCAGCTTCGTTTCGTCATCAACGTAGATCTCCATCGGCTGTACACAGCACAAACAAAGGGAGGAATAAGAATGATACGGAAATGCCATGGTTGCTGATACTGCTCCTGCTCTGCACCAGAGCATGTGAAGGAACCGCACTGGATCAACCTAAAAAAATGGAAAGCATGCACGCATTGAAGATACTACACAGTCGTTCCCGCAATTTTAGAGTTAAACAGCGAGATACGAAGAATCGGAACCAGGGTTGCGGTACCCATTGTCAATCGAGGGGCTCAGATGGCTTTCCGCGTGAGTAATTGATGCCTTCAGAGCACGCGACTCCGACGCGGCCCAGCACTCAATTATCCGCACCAACGGCTGGAAGCTGGGTCCGACCTCAACCAGAAGCAGTTCCACCTCGAATCCGCAAACCAATCAGTCCCTCAACGGCCTCCTCCCTTCACCACCCCCAAATCCTCTCCAGTACTAAAGACTCTCCAGCCATAAGCCTCCACACCCTCTAGCACATCTCTCACGCGATAACCCACTCCTCAGATACTTCTGACCCACTCCTCAGAAACTTCTGACCCGCTCCAGTTCCCAACCTAATATCGAATAACCCATGGTTCTAAGCTGATCCCGCTAGGCTGGAGATGATGAGCACAGCTGCTGACACAGCGACTGGAGATGATGTCCTGGGCTACAGAGGTCGAGTGCATCGGGGATATTTACATCGGTCATAAACTTCTTGCAGACGGGGCGAATCTCCTTGCTGAGCGTCGCGGAAAACATCATGACCTGTTTGTCGTGAGGAGTAAGCTTGAAGATCTCCTGAACATCCCTCCGCATATCTGTTACATCAAAGAAACGACCAGTCAGTACACTCGCAAAAATAAAATGCGAACAAAAGTAACGCACGCCAGAGAAAGACTTACCAAGCGACTCCAGCATCTTGTCGCATTCATCGAGAATGAAGTGGCGAACATGCTTTAAGTTCAGATCCTTCTGCCGAGCAAGATCGAGAATACGACCGGGCGTTCCGACGACAATGTGCGGGCATTCGTTCTTGAGCATATCCTTGTGTGTCTTGATCGCCACGCCACCGTAGAAGACTGCGACTTTGACATCCGGAAGGTATGTGGTAAACCTCTGAACCTCGTTACAGATCTGCAGCAACATGGAATTGGTCAGAATCCCACCTAGATCTTATGGGGGGCTACATTAAAGCTGTTATGAAGACCACGAGCGCACCTGGTATGCGAGTTCACGGGTGTGGCAGAGGACCAGCGCCGACACCTCCCCAGCTACTGGTTCGATCTGCTGAAGCGTTGCCAGCACAAACACAGCTGTCTTCCCCATACCAGACTTGGCTTGGCAGATCACATCCATGCCAAGAATGGCTTGGGGAATGCACTCATGTTGCACTGCAAAAAAAACAGCGAAATAATTCAGAATCTACCTCCGGCATGTGAAAATATAACACACTCGACATGCTTCAGCGAATGTATGCACCTTCTGATGGGTGTTCAAAACCACAGTCCACAATAGCGCGAAGCAGCTCGGGCTTGAGAAGGAAGTCACGGAAACCTGAGCTATGAATCCCCACATATCCCCTGCGCAAAGTACGTCGTAACGGATAAACTCAGATTTCTAAATTGATTCCAGGACCAGCTTTCGAAAAGACCAACAACGCCCAGCTTACTTCCTAGCTGCTTCTGTCGTTTTGGCAGCTCCGGCATCGGGAGCGGCTTCTTCTTCCTCTTCGAAGTCTACGAGCTCTTCCTCCTGATAGGTTTCCTTGGTCTCAGCCATCAGGGAGTACTGTGAAGATAGTACCGTAAAGATAAGGTGTCAGCGTGTGGACGGCGAGAACGCAAAAACAGAACAAACCCTTGCAGGAACGGAAAATCTCTTAGGAAACCTAGCGGAGTGTTGTGAGATACAAACCCCCAGTACTAGTGCGCGATGAGAGATCTGGTCTGGTGTTCATTCAAATGCTCAAGTTATGTCCCGCGATCTATTGCCTCGCACTCAGATCTGAGGGTTGCAGTGCAGAACTGGGCTGTTGCAATACACCATTTAGCTGCTACGCCTATGACCATCTCACAAAAGATTTTATGACGTATATCTAACTACAAAACCTACAGCAGTATATCTATGTATTCAAAGAAATAATGACAACTCCAGTTACAGAATCCATCATGACGAATTTAAGTGTCTAGGTGAACGGTTGAACATGACTCTCCACATGAAGGCTCGTGACAGCACCATGTCAAGCTCCTTTTCACTCCACCTCTTTGTTGGCACATGTTGCAAGAACAATACCATTTCCTGGAAGTCCATCTGTTGAAGTTGTTCTGACCACTGCAAACAAGAAGCCAGACTACTTCAGCAATGGTAACACACCAACAAATCAACGCGAGAGATAGCAATGCACATTGCATTGCAAACTTACGGTGAGCAGGAAACTTGCACATAGGTAAACCAAGAACTCTGCAAAACCATCACCCTCTGAAAGATATGTGTCCCACAATCTTCCCACAATAGAGAACGGAATCTGCAAACATGCATGGGAAAAAGGGAGACGATTGGTGCCTTACATAGGTAGATCAGCCTATCAAGACCAATATGAAGTCCAAACACATTATCAGTGGCGAGAAGCGAAATGGGCATACCTCACGGATTAGAAGGCAGTTGAACCACCGGAACGCGAACTGAAGAAATTCCAAGTGGTGCTCTTCCATGTGTCGAGAGACAGGCTCTGCAAATTGCATCCGACAAAGTGAGTCAAAGGTTCATATACAGGCTGTTGGTCAAGCCACAACAGAAGACAACCTCACCATCAATCCTTCTCACAAGCTCCTTGAGGCGGAAAACAAGGCGCTGGATGCCTGGCTGTGCAAAAGTATAGTGGTCTTGAATGCCATCAAGCAACTTGGACAGACACCAGTAACTATCTGCCTCGACTTGCAAGAGAGTATCTTCAGAAAGCTTTGAAACCACCCAGGTATCAATGTCTCCTTCAAATATCTCCGAAAGAAACACTGTGAGGAATGGAGTCAGCAGGTCGTTGATTCCTTGAACATATCCACTGGCTGGGTGGCGTATAGCCCTGCAAAACGAGCACTTCAATCACATCAATGACTATTTCACAATAGCGAGACGACAGCGAACCATGCAGGAACTTACCAAATGTAGAGTACACGCTCAATTGCTGTCTGCATCAAGGTTTGCTGGAAGAAGGGGACATCTGGAACAGTTCTCGGGCAATCTACAGATATCTGTACAGAGGACTGGGTGTCAAAGGGCGGGATTGTGGGGTTGATTATGGATTCGAAATCTGAAAGACGCCTACCTGGCGAAGAGTGTGAATTTCATCATCACTGCGGTCTTCATTTGGAATGTCATAATACTGGGGAACCCACTCCCTGTACTCTTGACGTTTCCTGGCTAAAACTGTCTCTCTTCTATCCGCGTTTGGCGGTGCGTATCCCTGAAAGCATACAAAATTGAAAGGATCAATATGACCAGATATTCCGCTGGCACTATTGACCACATGTGAACATTCTTCTTCTCACCAGTAAAAGACGCCAGACAGTTGGTCTTAAGTTGGGAGGTATGCCACTCCATGAAAGCTCCCGAAGAGCATCTGAATGTAAGCGGCACGACGCTTGATAAGACCAGAGCTTTAACGAGAGCATACGTGTGGTTGATCTGAATCGAGATTTACCTAGGTCCACTGCAGGAGCCGATAATTCCTTTCTGAATTTGGCAACCCTAGCAGTATCCAGGGATCTTGACTCGGGCATCGGCTCTACTACGGCTGGAGCCGTTTCCGCAACTGGTGGAGACGCCTCTTGTATTCTAGATTTCGAAGCTAGCTGGTCAAGCACAGTAAAATCACTATAAGAAGAACGCATAACGTGAAAAGCTAGGAGCTAAAACGATCAGCATACCACCGTACCTGTCTCTCCTCGTTTGAAGGTCTAAGAATTTCAGCGGCATCAATTTCAGGACCCTCCCGTGCTCTCACAGCACTCGTCGGGCTTATGGCTTGCTGAGGCTCACCCCTGGTGAGCTTTATTCTCCCAGGTACGGATTTTCCACCTCCAAACCTGAAAGGAGACGAATAAGTTTCAACGATAAGTACAAGGTATTCTGCGGAGATGCATAACTTACTGTACGTTTAAGCCATCTAGTGCTACCTTCCCCACATCGTGTTGTCACAACGATTAGTGGTGTCTCTGGAGCAGCAGTTGACCTAAATGTAAAACTGATCGAGCCTCCCGAATCTGATATACAAAGCGGTCACTCGAGAACAGCGTGATTGGACTAATTACCACGACACGTGCACTAATCGTCAGATCATGGCTTCACTGACATGATAGTAGTATCGGTAGCTGACTAAGCGTTGTGGCTTGCATTGGCAGGCGATGCAAGGCAAGGTGTAGGGGGAATGGAAATCAGGGAGCATAGCAGGAAAGGAAAACGTAATCGGTTCAGCTCGGTTTGTTTTTGCCAGTACACCGGAAGCGGCTATTTTCAAGAGGAACGAACGTGTTTCACGACCGCGCCAAAAGTTGACGGAAACGGGATCAGCTGACGAATGCTGAAGGTTCGCTCAAGCGGCACAATCCTTTCGCCTATTTCAACTGTAGCGCCTGTTACGAATGCACAACAAATAGAGTAATTTTTCTATGTCAAAAGAACTTTCCCATGGTGAACTCAACACTACTCCATCAGTTGATCGTTTCTCACACAACTCATACGAAATTTCCCCTCTTCAACAACTATCCAGTGCAGTGCTAACACAACAAAGCTGGGTCATCACAGATTCACTACACGGCACAAGGCCTCCAAACCTGCAACAACTTGTCGTAAAAAGAGCACGAGCCAACAACCCATGCACTATCAGCTTCTGCATTTGCACCTCCTGATGACTTCTTGCATGAACCCCAGTCGATGCCATAGACCATGGACTTGTGCTGCTCATACCGCTCCACCACTTCTCCACATAGACCCTGGAATGACACCCTCCCAGCCTCATGCCGACACAATACACTCTTTGTATCCTCTGCAAGTGAAATATGAGTATCCACAGCACTGGGATGATCTTGGAAAAGAGAGAGTATTGTAGCTCCTCCATGCATACAAGCAGCCAGAACAAGGTGAGCTTCCTCCGGATGCCACTTGATCCTCCACACCCCTCCGCCTGTTGCAACTTGACAAACAGCTACAGGCATTAGCAGCATGCGGACATCCCAGAATCTTACCGACTCATCGTAACTCCCAGATGCGAGGAGATGCGGAGAGTGGGGAGAGCAGCGGAGAGACGTGACCCCGGCTTGGTGTGCCTTGATGTTGCGCCATGCAGGCCACGAGGAGGATGGAGAGAGCGGGGATGAAGTGGGGGAGGGAATTTGTGTACGGAGGTCCCAGGCACACATCGCACAATCATCGCCACCTGAGTATAGCACCTGAAAGGAAAAGGGAAAATGATACTATGGAGAATGAGTGAAAGGAGAAGGCAAGAGGATCTGGTTACAAGGAAAATGACACAAAACCATTTTGCTTATAATCACTATCACCATGGAGTGCAGCAAGCAAAATGTCACATTCAAGGGGTGAATACACACACCCACCTCAGGGTTCCAGATGTTAAAGCAGCATGTCCATGCTTCGAACTCGTGTGCTGGCCATGCGTGCTCTGCCACCCACGCACCACCCTCTCCCTGCCGTACCACCGCCAGCGATCCATCCGACCGACTTACAGCGATCCGATCCCTCCTCACACCCCATGCTATCCTTCTCTCTCCCGCTCCCTCCTCATCAGTCTCCCCGCTCCCGCTCTCCCCTGCATCTGCCTCCTGCTCCTCCCGGTTCCCGCTTCCTGCCTCGGATTCCCCAGCCGTCCACCAATCCAACGCAAGGCACATCGTAGGTTTGGCGTCAGGCTCGGCAGGATCGGAGGGAGGAAAAGGAATTCGGCTGTACAGTGATAGGCTTGGAGGTGCAGCGGCGATCGGTCCTCCCTGCATCTCGTACAGATCTACGGTCCCATCAGCAGTTGCTGCTGCCAGCAGCATCTGCTCAGTCGAATTCCCTCGCTCAGCAACATTCTCTCTTCGCTCCCTCAGATCTGCTATTTCTTCTTCCTGCTCGTCTGCTTCTGCTCGCCGGCCAAGAAAACCCTCGCTTCGCCACTTGATGTCCAGAATGCCGCAACCGCTGACTGACTGTAGGTGGACCATGCGTGCTGCGGCTGGAAGCGGCGGTTCTTTTCCGTCAGAAAGCCGTCCATTATCGTCTGAGACCTCAGCATCGACGGCGCCAAGGTTGAAAAGGTGCACTCCGCCGAGACGCGACTGGAGTTTTCCGTTTGGCGTCTC